GTCAATTTCTAGTTTAAACGTTGAATAATAGAGCAGTGAAAATGAATTAATTGAATGCAATACATTAAGTATTTCATTTCACATTGGTGGTCTTCTTGTACCAAATCTGTGTCATCATCAGGAGGAGCTGCAGAGGGATGGTCGCATTACCTGGCTTGTTGAGTTCTACGCCAACTGGTCCTCTGACTGCCAGTCCTTCGCTCCCATCTTTGCCAACCTTTCTCTGAAGTGAGCGATTTGTTCTTTATTTGGAGTCTGAGAGCCGCCTAGATTTCTCTGAATGTCTTGAAGGAAAATAGATCAGTAAAAGAAATTGCTGAGTCTTCTGAATTGAATAACTTTTAAGTGCAGGTGGATTTGCTCACAAAGCATTTGGTTACAATTAGAAATATTAAGGCAGGCAGAGGAAATACAGGTGCTGGTCATAAAATTAGAATATCATGAAAAAGTAGATTGATTTCAGTAATTCCATTTAAAAAGTGAAACTTGTATATTATATTCATACATTACATACAAACTCATATATTTCAGATGTTTATTTTGTTTAATTTTGATGATTACAAATGACAACAAATGAAAATCTCAAATTCATCATATCAGAAAATTAGAATATTGTGAAAAGGTTCAAAATTGATGGCCCCTGGTGCCACACTCTAATCAGCTAATTAACTCAAACCACCTGCAAAAGCCTTTAAATGGTCTTTCAGTCTAGTTCTATAGGCTACACAATCATGGGGAAGACTGCTGACTTGACAGTTGTCCAAAAGACGACCATCGACACCTTGCACAAGGAGGGCAAGACACAAAAGGTCATCGCTAAAGAGGCTGGCTGTTCACAGAGCTCAGTGTCCAAGCACATTAATAGAGAGGCGAAGGGAAGGAAAAGATGTGGTCGAAAAAAGTGTACAAGCAAGAGAGATAACCGCACCCTGGAGAGGATTGTGAAACAAAACCCATTCAAAAATGTGGGGGAGATTCACAAAGAGTGGACTGCAGCTGGAGTGAGTGCTTCAAGAACCACCACACACAGACGTATGAAAGACATGGGTTTCTGCTGTCGCATTCCTTGTGTCAAGCCACTCTTGAACCACAGACAGCGTCAGAAGCGTCTTGCCTGGGCTAAAGAGAAACAGAACTGGACTGCTGGTGAGTGGTCCAAAGTCATGTTCTCTGATGAAAGTAAATTTTGCATTTCCTTTGGAAATCAAGGTCCCAGAGTCTGGAGGAAAAGAAGAGAGGCACTTCATCCACGTTGCTTGAAGTCCAGTGTAAAGTTTCCACAGTCAGTGATGGTTTGGGGTGCCATGTCATCTGCTGGTGTTGGTCCATTGTGTTTTCTGAGGTCCAGGGTCAACGCAGCCACATACCAGGAAGTTTTAGAGCACTTCATGCTTCCTGCAGCTGACCAACTTTTTGGAGATGCAGATTTCATTTTCCAACAGGACTTGGCACCTGCACACAGTGCCAAAGCTACCAGTACCTGGTTGAAGGACCATGGTATCCCTGTTCTTAATTGGCCAGCAAACTCTCCTGACCTTAACCCCATAGAAAATCTATGGGGTATTGTGAAGAAGAAGATGCAATACACCAGACCCAACAATTCAGAAGAGCTAAAAGCCACTATTAGAGCAACCTGGGCTATCATAACACCTGAGCAGTGCCACAGACTGATCGACTCCATGCCACGCCGCATTGCTGCAGTAATACAGGCCAAAGGAGGCCCAACTAAATACTGAGTGCTGTACATGCTCATACTTTTCATGTTCATACTTTTCAGTTGGCCAACATTTCTATAAATCCTTTGTTTTTATTGGTCTTCAGTAATATTCTAATTTTCTGATATGATGAATTTGAGATTTTCATTTGTTGTCATTTGTAATCATCAAAATTAAACAAAATAAACATCTGAAATATATGAGTTTGTATGTAATGTATGAATATAATATACAAGTTTCACTTTTTAAATGGAATTACTGAAATCAATCTACTTTTTCATGATATTCTAATTTTATGACCAGCACCTGTACACTGAACTAAAAATATCTTTTGTTTTGATCCAGCTGCAGCTTCCATGGTCTGTACTGCTGATACTCACAGCTTCTCATACATGTCCTCTTGGTGGTGTATAAATGTATCATGAATGACACTTTAGCTTCCCTATTGTAACACAAGTATGGATTCGTTCATGAATCTATATTTTGTATCTTTTTCTTCCATCCTTACAGTTTAAATATTTTAAAATAGTCGTGTGACTTTATGCAGCCAATCAAGTCTCTTTTTTTTTTATTATTAAACACCACCTGACCTTAAGAGGAAATCCATTAAGGAGGCAGGCATAGCGGTTTTTCATTCTAGATATGTGGTGTTGAACCTTTTATCCAATGAATGTCAATTACCTTGTTTTTATTTTTGTTTATTTTAGATACAATTGTGCTGGGCTCCGGTTTGGGAAGGTGGACATTGGTCGGTATGGAGAGGTTTCTCAAAGGTGATTTATTTATTTTTTTGTATTTACTCAAATTTTTTAATTATCAACTTAATGCTACAATATGAATTCTGGGACTTGGTCTTCTTCTTTTTTTTTTAATAAACAGGTACAAGGTAAGCACATCTCCTCTGGCTAAGCAGCTGCCATCTCTGCTGCTTTTTCAAGGAGGACGGGAAGTTATGAGACGTCCAATGGTGGACAACAAGGGCAGAGCTGTGTCTTGGACCTTTAATGAGGTTTGTCTGTTCTGCTTTATCTAATACATTATCTTTACTGTGTTAATTCTTTTTTTTTTTTTTTTTTTTTAAACTCACTAAAGTGAAACAGCTTTATAACTAGAACATTCACTCTCCCCTCCAGGAGAACATTATTCGAGAATTCAACCTGAATGAGCTTTTCCAAAAGTCCAAGAAGCTGAACAAAAAGCAGAACCATCCTCAGACAGAAGAGGGCAGCGAAGAGCTTCATCAGGAATCCAATGGAGCGGAAGAGCCAACAGAAAGCAAGAAAGACCAGTGAGGAGATACAGGATCAGAGCAAGTTTTGTGTGGCATTTTGTTTAAAATTCAGACAATTATGGCTCTTTCAGTCTCAGACAGTCCAAAAAAAAAAAATCCACAAAGCTGAAATATGGAGCAAGTCTTAATGCAACACATGTAACTGTACCAAAACCAAGCAAAAGTAAAGGGATGTTAATTTATTTAAGTTTTTTTAGGGTTTTTGTAAAGAATGGCGGCATAATTTCATAGTTGCATGTCAACGTTTGCTACCTGTGTTTGTGAAACTGCCTGTTTACTTTTGTGTCGGATTACAAAACCAAAATAAAATTACTGTATTAAAAAAAGACTCAATTAAAAAAAAATTAAACAGTTTGACCTTTTATTCTGAGAAGACATCTTCTTAAAAATTCTTTATAAGGCCATTTTGGAAATGTATCTCATATACTGACTACAGCTATTTGTGAAACTCATTCCATCCGTCACAACCATCGATAACAATATGCAATCTCTCAAAGTACTTCCTATGTGCCCACGTTTTCATAGTCCTTCAGTGGCCGTAGTCTTTGTCTGCTGCACTGGGAAGTAACGCAGGTTTGTGCCATCAGTGATGTTGGTTTTTGTCACCCACAGGTGAAGTGGGTTGGAACTGACGATCACAAAAGAATGCACAGAAGTGAAGCAATTGGTGTGACCGAAAATAAACTGAAAGAAAAAAAAAACTAAAACACATGCATGCTAAAGTTATAGCCTGGTTGGGTTGGAAACTCACAACACATTTGTTTGGGTCTGTTACTCATGTGCTTACAGCATTCATCTCCCCTCTACAGATGTGCCACATTCACAAAGCTTTGACATTCTACTGCAAACACTACGTGGGTCTTTAACAAAAGAAAAACCAAAAAAAAAGGGTACAAAGTCTGCAATGCCCAGACCAGAACAAGCTTCTCCCTTTGTCTAAGATCTGTTCTCAACATGGCAGAGGGTGAACAATAAATGGTCAAAATAAACGAGCCAATCAAATAGATTTAGGACACTTTACTTTTCAATAGGGAAAAAAGAAAACTTGATTCACCATTAGGCATGGGCTGGTCAAAGTTTACAAGAATTTCAGCTGCTGAAGTTTCCATCGTCCTCACAGTTTAAAATCCATAGAAAATATGCCAGGATAGAAACATGATGTACTGTTTTCTCTGTTTTAGGCCCTTCCAGTCCTCTGCTGCGCCCTGCTTGTCAGCTGGCTGAAAGGCCATAAAATGTTACTCAGCTTTCTGGAATGGATACAATATACTATTTGGGGACATTTTACCTTAAAAAGAAATTGAGAGGGAACAAAAAAAAAGTTGGCTAGCTAAGAAGGGTACATCTTTAAAGCAGCTGAAATGTGGCTAGCTACTAGAAAAGTTAGCATAAATAAATTATATTAGCTCCAAGTATTAAACTATAAAGAGAACATGGAGAAAATAAGCCATGTTCTCCATCAAATGCAAATATAAAAGAAGGCAGATATATACACAATGCCAATTTAATCAAGCCCTTAGCCTAATTTCTTCTAACTTAGAATATAATTGAAGAGTCCCAGATTATGGCGATGTCAAGGAGGCCTTTAAAACACGGACTTGGAGCTAATCACCAGACATAAATCGGAAAATTACTGTATAAAACAACTCAAAAGCAATTTTAAGAATGGGTTATTGTAAAGATTTGCTGGACTGCAGCAAAGGTTTTCCCTTCATTTTTTAGAAGAGTAAATAATTTTTAGGATGTTGTATGTTATTGTGTAAATAAAAACTGCTTTTCTTTTCTAATGAGGCATTTTAATTACATCCTTTTTTCTTTAAGAGAGCAATTTCCAATTAAAACCTGCCAGGGTACAAACACCTAGGAGCTTAACTGTGTAATAAAACAGAAAAAGTTAAAACATTTTTTTTTATTGTTTCATGTTTTAACATTTTTTATTTCTAATGCAGTTTATTATATTGAGAGAATTTCATACCAGCCCATGCCTAATCTAATTTGATATAAGATATTTTTTTCTTTTTCTGCTGAGCGTAATTAGTGCAGATAACTGTTTTCCTGGTGCAATAAATAAGCCCTTCCCTTTTCTGCCCCTATTTGGCTAAACATAAGTTAAAAAGTATGCGGTCGGTAGCATTTAAAACTAATTTACAATTTACTGAAAAGTAGCGAAAATAAAATGAACAAAAACACCAAAAAGACATACAATGATCTTAAAGCTACAGACAGGTTTTGCATAATGCTTCTAGCATAAACATTACAAGAGTACATTCCACAAAGATGCTTGTGCTGCAACCATAGGGATTCAAATTTCTCTTTTTCTTTCTAAAAAATATTTTGATTATTTGCCACACCTGGTGCCCTGCAAGGATCATATCTGTCTTTGGATGACAAAACAAAGAAACAAAGCTCTAGCAAGAGGTTGCAAGTGGCTGATGCAGCCATCAAATATAGAAAAAAAAATTAAACAGGCAAATGATCTAAAATAGCTTTCATGATTAATTACATACATCTGCCACCATCATCTTCAATATCTGACATTTTTACTATATAATAATCTGATTTTTTTTTACATTTATATAAAATGATATTTAAAAAAATACAAAACTTAAATGATACTGTTAATAGGTTGGACTCATCCATCTGTGTGGTCCATGCAGATGTTACTATTGGTCAAAATTGAACATCGCCTTTTCCTTAAGTGTTTGACACACTTGTCAATACTTTGTCTTAATGAACCAACACATCATAACAGATCATGGAAATAGGTTTATGTGTTTCATAGACATGTTTGTACCCAGCCGTTATGACAGTCACATCAGTCTATGGCTCACAAAGTGGCAAAAATAGAGGCAACTGATCCAGTGAGATGAATCAGCTTCCCCGGTTTCTCTTTGATGAAACCTGAAAGGCTGGTGGAGAAGACTGGCCAGCGCCATCAAGATGAAACGAGTACCGGACAAGCCATCTTCAGGAGTCCACAGCAGAAGAACCGCTTCTCGGAGGCTTTCGGTCATGAATAATCTCCAGCTAAGATAAAGATGCGCAAGTGCGAGTGCAAGATGTGACATTTTTATACGTTTAGTTCCTCCAAACCCATCCTTGTCTTGGATCACTCTGGACTTTCGTCACTCAAACCGAGATCTCGTATGTGGTCCCTCCAACGCCGGTTACCTTCTTCACCCCGCCCACTGGTTTGGATGCGCCGTGATTGGCCAAGACTGGGCGAGAGATTGATCTGATTGGAGGTTGATTTAGGAAATGGAGATGTGGAAAAAAAAAACAAAAGAAAACCAGAGGTGAGAGGTTTGGCGTATACAAACAATATACAAATGACAATTCTTTTTTTCCACCAAAAGCCCTTAGAATATAAGTTAGAATCAAAATGCCTTGTAAAGTATTCATAACACATTGACAACCATAAACTTTAAAGAATTTTACTGAGATTTTAAGTAATGGACCAACAGGAAGTCAGACCCTTAATTTCTGATGCCATTAAATAAATAAAAAGGTTGAAATTGCATAAACAACACAGTTTGTATGTAATTTATTCTCAGTATAAATCCATTTGTGTTTTGAAAGTCTCATAGATTTATTAGATGTGTAAACAGCTTTAAGAAGACCGAGGGAAACAGCAAAACGCTAAGGGCCGCGAAGAAGTCTAAAGCAGGGTTCAGTTTTAGAAAAAGCAAACGGATGAAAAGGGCACATTTATTTTTTTTAGAGGAAACCAAAACGAAACTTTGACTGGCAAAAGGTTACGTGGCACCACCATGTGGTGGAAATGCTTTTCTGACACACTGGAATGCCAGAGTAGATGTTTGATTGAGACTGGGAAAGACATTCACCTTCCATTAGTACAACATCCTAAAGCATACAGACAAGGCTACAAAGTTGGGTTATTTTTTTTTATGAAAAAACAGATTTTTAATCTGTGGCAAGATTAAAAAGTAATGTTAACCGATGCTCTCCAATCTCACAGAATGGAAAAAAAAAAAACTGGCAGAAGTATGAATCCATCTGGTCTGGATGTAGTCTAATTTACTTGCAGCTGTAATTTTGGATCTACAGAATATTGCCTCAAGCGAAATGCTGAAAACTGAAACAATTTCCTTCCACTTCCAATTTCCAAATACAAATACAAATCCTGTAAAGTTCAACAAAGTTTGTGGTTGTAACAGGATACAATAGTTAAAAGTTCAGGGTGTGACTATTATTTTCAAGGCACGGTCTATTTTGTGAGTTAATTCAAGAAAAGGTAACAAAGGTCCACAGAACAGAAACCAAAACCAGCAGAGCAATCCATGCTGTGAGAGCTATAAAAATATACTGGCATGCTTAGAGTACAAATCATTGATTCCAATGTGTGAAAAAAAAAAAAGAACACATTTCCATTAACAAACCCAATTGGTTACTGGTAAACAATAACAGACTGATTGTAAACATATGTAGGAGTAGAAGGAAGACTCACACAGATCAGGAAGGAAGAGACAGGCTGACACAAACCGGGAAAGAAAAACAGTAGAAAAAGGAGAAGAGTGGCAGGCTGACGACTCTGATGACGGTTCACTACTCACTGTGGAGCCTGTAGCCCTCCTCCAGCTCCTCCCCCTCCCAGCACAGTGCCCGCCCCTGCTGGCCGAGGCTTGTGCTGAGGCCCCGTGTCCCCTATGTGAATCGGACACCTGCTGAGGGAGAGGCCGCGAGGTGGCGGGGAGACTGGGGGGTCTAGAGAGCGAGCCCCCGGGGAAGAGGATGAGGAGGAAGGGTTTCGAGGGATTCGGGGAATCTGGTCCTGGTTATGATGGAGCAGGTGCTGGGCCTCGGGAGGCCCGGGGGAGGAGGAAGGGGGTGGGCTGACTGCACGCAGGTAGGCCCTATGGGGGGAGGAGAAAGTGGTGGAGCCCTGGAGTAGCTGCCCCTCCCTCTGCTGAGTGATCTGAGCTGAGAGGAAGGGCGACGTGTAGCCCTGCAGCGGGCTACTGTGCGACACCATCCCGGGTCGGCCCACTCCAGCCAATGGGGGGAACGGAACGTGAGGCTTCTGTGGTGATAGCTCATGGGCAGCAGATTCGAACTCCGGGCTCTCGGATGGCGTCAGAAGGCTGTCGTAGGACAGGCTGCCATTCCGAGGCGTCTGATTGGCTAGGCTTTTGTAGCTGGTGTCTGTGGTGCCCTCTGATTGGAGCGTGGCCAGCGGGTTATGTACAGTCTGTGCTGAGCGCAGGCTGGATGAGTGGGAGCCGCCCGTGGACAGAACCAGCGAGGATGGGTAGGAGGTGTAGGAGCGCCCAGTCAGGGAGTAACCCGACATGCCACCTGACACCACACCAGCGACCCCGCCGGGGCCTCCAGGACCCTCACCCCTGTCCCCTCCCCCTCTGCGCACCCCTACACCTCTTCCCACCACTGTGGCCCCATCCAGGCTGCTCGGCTCCGAGCGGTAGCTAGGCTGGCGGCTGGAATGAAGGATGGAGGGTGGCTGAGAGTCGAGACTCTCCCCACTGGTCATCTGAAGAGAAGAGAGGAGGAGAAAAAGAGCACATGTAGAGAAGGAGAGAGGGCGAGGGAGGAGAGATGAGATAACAGGGGGCAGAATGATGAAAATTTCCATCTGAGCTCAGAAAGAATAAAGAAAGTACAGGAACATCTCAATAAATTTATTCAGGAATTTAATTCAAAAAGTGAAACTACTATAGTCATTACACAGAGCGTGATGGCTTTCATTAATTATGTGTATTACTATCGTTTTGATGTGTACCGCTTAGAGCCAACAAATCCTAAAAGGCAGTTTCTGTGTGAACTAGAAGATCACATAAGACCCATAAAAGATAATATTTTGGTGTCACTAGTGACATTTCCACAGACCATTAAATATATTAATATAAAAACTATTTTTTTTATGATAATAAGTTTATGCCTTAGAAAGAAAACCTCCTAGGCTCGTCATCAGCATCCAGGTGTTACTACTGCTGATAAGGACGGAAACCACAACAGGAAATGGTAGGAGGAGGATGAAGAAGCATAGTTTTTTTCTTTCTTGCTTTTTTCTTTCTCACATGAACATTATTATAAATATTTTTTAAATGTAATGGAAACACCACAATTAGGAAATGTGTTTTTTTTTTAAAGTTCTTTTTAGTTTAGGTTGAAGTTTACCGGTAGGTTACTTTCTCAGCTACTGATAGATGTTCAAAACTTTTACCAAGGTAATTATTAAAAGGAAGTTGAATGAAAGGGCAGGGTGTTAAACAAAGTTGAACCAGCAAAGGTGTTTACCGCAGCCTGGAGATAAATTAGTATTATTATATTTGGTAGAGTTAGACTCTGACGGGAGTTATTTCTCTAGAAGCCGCCAAAGAGATGCTTCTACTGGATCAGACTGTGGCATCTATTCAGTTGAGCATCTCGTAGAACAGAGAGACTGTCAGTGAACTAAAGGAGAAAAAGGACAAGACTGCTTTAAAGTTGTCCAATGTCCTCATTTAGCTAAAAGCAATTTGTGCATTTTATTTAAAATTTAAAGTTATAGAGTGGCTTGGGATATGATCTAAGGATCTGCTGCTGCTGTAGGTCCACTGTGAACTGCTATATCAAAATTAAAAGCCCCTTATTCTTCCCCTCTGGAGACGCAAGCATGGAGACGCTGATTACAATATCTAGCAGGATTTGACCCTTTGCCAGCCATGCAACATGTGCTTATACAGTATTCAATGACCACTGTGTTCCTGAGCTTAAATGGCCTGAAAGGTGCTTGATCTAAGCGCCGCAGAAGATAAACAGCCGGGTTCATTCTCTGATCAGCTCCATGCCACGCTGCATGGAAGCATCGAGTCACTCAAAATGAGTCCAAACTTTTTCTTAAAATTGGTCTTATGTAACATTCCAATTTTCTGATGAATTGAATTGTGCAAGTAATAACCTTTGAACCATAATCAAAACTTAAGAAATACATCACTATATATGTAATGAAGATATCAGCTTCTCTTTTTTTAACTCGCAGCTCCTCAGATGACACTATAATTTATTGAGATGGACTTGTAAAAAGCTTTTGCATAGATTGTAAAAAGACAAGAGTGGTGGGGAGAATTGGATGCTTAACTGGTGCTCTACTCCATCATCACACTACTGACTTGGAAACACTGACTGGTTGGGGACTCCATGGCAAAGACCATGTGTGTAAACACATAAATGGAAGTGCAAATACATATGGAGTAATCAGGATGAACTGCACATTCCAGTCAATGCAGTCTGAAGGGAGAGGGTAGATCCAGTCAAACACACAAACAGTCAGTGGGATAAACACACAGTGAGACTTACTGCTCAACCGTTGGCCACTGAATGATCAATTTAAAGTAAAAACAAAAAGAAAGGCATTTACTTAAAAATGAAAGCAGAAGGCAGACACAGATTCCTCCAGACCACTTCATATAGTAAAACAAAGGATTGTGTGTTTTTTAATACTCTACTTCTTTCCTGCTCATGCAACCATATGAATCTTTTTAAACTAGTTACCAGTTTCCTTTTCACAAATCGCATCCACTTAAAAAGTACTTCAACATGTTCAAATTTTTCTGCCAGTCCTTTTCAGCAGAACAAGAATGACCAAGATCTCAGCTTTGAGATGTGGGCATATTGAAATCAAATGTACCTTATTTGGATGTGTGACAGCAGCGTGGTTTTTCCCTGGGCTGCTGTAGGCTGGTCTGTACTTATACATTGAAGGTGTGGGCGGAGCCTCCGACAACAAGCTGCTGGCTGCAAAACAACGAAGCACAAGGTACACTTAAACAAGCGGCAGTAGGAGAAAAACAGACATGACAAAGCATCTTAGCAAAACTCTTCTTTTACACACATCAGGCCATTTACAAACTGAAGATAATTTTCTCACATGAACTTTGAGGGACAGAATGACAGCAAAGGATTTTGGTACACAGAACACAATTTGAAAGAATTCAGAAATTTTCTAAAAGTGTTCTGGAAACTCAAAAAGCAATATTTAAAATAAATTGTGAAACTCAGCTTCTGAAAGATTTAAATTAATATCTGACATAAAAAAAAAATTCAGTCTTGCGTAAATATATTCTGAAACACAGAACTGTGAAGCTTCTTTAGAAAACCCAGGGGAAAAGATTGTATTAATGAATATCACAACAGTGTTTAGACAAAAATGCCTTAACTGTTTTAAATGGGTTTTTACCTTATAAAAGCAAAACAGGTAAAATAAAAGTGCTGTCTTATCTTGTAGGACGACTTCTGCAAGTTACATAAACTTTGGAAATTACATCTATAAAGTAGATCATCAAAAGGTACCGTTTTTGTCTCAAAATCCACTAATTTCAAGTTTAAAAAAAGGTAAACAAAACAAAAAACAATTAGCAATAAAATATACATAAAATACTTTATTGTAATGAATGTTAGCTGTTGTAGTTTTTTTCTGGAGAGGGGGTGGGGACAGGGTGATTCGGTTCACATAACTACGCTCTAAAATAGTAAAAACAGATAAATAATGGATTAAATTGCACCAAATGTTATGGTCCTGTATATAATGTAGTCCAATTATAAATCTATTTTATTTTGGAGTTAAAAAAAAAACAATAATGAAACAAACGTCCTGGATTGAAAGTGATGCAACCCGACATGTCTGGAAATGACTGCCTCAGAACAGGTTCTATAACGATGTTCTATATACACCACTGAAAAGGCGAGTTCCTCTCATTCCCAAAAATACCAAACATTAACGCTTGAGCAAGAAAAATTTAAACAAGGACATTCAAATGTCCTTGTATAAATTTGCTCTAAAAATCTAAACTTCCGTTTTTGTCAAACTAAAATACCTTTAATTAATGAATCAACCAACTATGGAGATATTCATAAAGCTGCCTGTCTGAGATTTAACTCGAACTGTTTTCTTACAGATCAGTCTGTGCTACTTGTTTAAGAACTCGCAGTCAGTAATATCATACATGAAAGCATAAAGATTTAAAGATCTTTTTAACAGGTGACTCTTCTTATTTGAGCACAAGGGTCCCAGTTATGTTTCAAAGGAAACTCAGACGGCCATCTGTAGCTGAGGTGTGAGGGGGGCCCATAGTGGCTAATTAGGAGGACCTGGATAATTCCCTGAGAACCGATCTTAATTTAGCCATGAGTGGATCACTGGCACTGCTACCGCCATCCCTGGGTTACCTCAGCCTATGATGGCAGCTGTCTTTTCCCTGATGTAACACATAGGTGCACTGAGATGGTCAATGGTGTCTGGAAGTTGGAGAGTAAAAGGAGCAAAGACTGTGCAGAGAACACCAAAATTAAAGAGGAAAGCTCTGGAAAGAGACCCTGCTGAATGTATAAAAATTGGGTGCTTTTTTAGTAAAACAAGATTAAGGATTATAACTTGGGAAGACACTGATAGAATGGGAGAGAAAAGATTTCCTGCAACTCTTCCTGCAAACCATTGAACATGTTAATAATCAAGTCATTGTATTGCGTGGTGCTGTGGAGAATAATTAAATGTTATATAGTTTAAACAGTAACATGATGTAATGCTGCATAAATGGGAATATTTGTCTAGTAGCCTCTCAGGGTCAGAGGTACTATACAGCAGAACCATTACCAGCTATGAGGCAGGTAGGATTACTCATTAAGTGAATATTAAATCTAATGAAGAGTATTGTGCAGTTTTCTATGCTCAGAAGTATGACATTTTTTTTCAAATGTTATTTAGTGTCAGATGTAAAACTAGCAGTGATGATGAGATTGCTCCTTTTAGTATGGAAGAAACAGGTGCTTCTATAGATAAGCTGGTATAAATCAAACAATCATTAATTCTAAATGTTTCGATACCCAGGTCATACAGGTGACCGGTTACATTTTTAGCATACATGTAGAGAGTAGTGAAATGAAATAATATTAAATAAATCTGATCATTCAGTCCTTGACAATCTTAATTGGTTAAGTTCAAACTTGTTTTCCATATTGAATGTGCGAATACATTTTCAAGATGACTATTTTTATTTGATTCAGGTCCAATTATTTTCAGTAATTTTATTTCACTTTGAAGGTTTGGATATCTATGAACACTTATTTGAACAGAAAGTTGATTCTGATGTTGTTGAATAGGATGTTATGAAGAACAATTTTGGGAATTTGCACTAATGTTTGAACAAATCTGAATTAAATTGAATTAAAGCCTTAAGAGAACAAGGCGATGTGGTAAACTTCACCTATAAATTTACGACTACGTGATTTTGATTAATAATAGGTCATTATCTTAAGTGGGCCTGTCTAAGGCATGAAACTCCAGGGCTGAAAGTTAGTCCCACTCCAGCCCAGGTGTCAGATAATATCCATCCCAAATTTCAAAACTGGCAACAGTATAAGCAGAAAAAAGAAAACAAAATTCTGACCTTCTGTGTCGGCCCGGGGTAGACCGGGATAACGAAGGTCCGGCTTCGGAGGGGGAGGAGCCTCTGTATCCTCAGACTGGCTCTCCATCTGATTCAGACTGCTCTTAGACTAGTGGAGATACGGTTAACTGTTAGACACAAACTAGTAGGAGCTGTCATCCAGCAAAGCAGCAGCTAAATAAAACATCAACTGTTGAAGGCATAAAAGGCGATCTGGAAAAGGCTGACATTTAAAGCAAAGCTTTGACTGATCATCTTTCCTTTGACCAAAATGGGTTTAAACCAAAAAAAAAGGTGTTATTTTTTTTCCTCCTGAGAATAGACTGATTGTGGGTTTAGGTGGGAGAACATGAGGACGACCCACCCTGGTGCTGTGTCGGTCATTCTGGATGCCATTGTCCAGAACCTTAGCTTCAAGCTGTGCCTCAGTTAGAGACGGCCTCAAAAACGGGGGCTGCACTTCCACTGTCTGACGGTTCCACCAGCGGCCCATGTACCTATAACAAGTACACACCTGTAAGCCTCATTCCTTAGAGAGCAAAAACAGTGAGAACAGATGGGCGATTCCATGAGAAACGGAATATATGACTGTGGGAATGCCTACGCTCAGATATTCCTAATGAGAGCAGGGACAGAGGGGAGAGGGAGGGAAACACAGAGAAAAGAGCAGTGCAAAAAAGAAAAAGAAAGCCAGGAAGTGAACATGTGCGTGAAGCGAAAAAGGGAGTGCTGACCTCGGGGCCAGGGGGCTGCAGAGAACATGGGAAATATTCCTCAGGCAGCCCTTGGTGAAAGGGTTGACACCTCCTCTGAACTTCCCTGTCACCTACAGTGGAAAACACAAACAAACATGCTCAAAATGGGTTTTAAAAGGAAAAAAATGCATTTCAGGGAGGGGAACAGATGCATAATAAGCTCCAGTTTGTACCTGTTCATTAGTGGTCCGACCACGGGCCACCAGTACTATGTGGAACCCAGTCAGGCCAGCAACTGGGACAAAAAACAGACCAGCTACACACATCACACCCATACTGGGAAGCAAGGTTAAAGAGTTCAAAACGCAGATATAAAAGAATCAAAAAGGTAAAAATAAGAGTCCCATTCTGCAGTTTCATGATTTAGAAATCCCACTGTAAAGGATACGTAACAGCAGCATGCGGCGTGTCCAGCTGGTGGCGGTGATGCAGGACGTAAACCAAGCCGAAGCCGAAAACGTTCACAATGTGGGTGGTTAAAGACAGCAAAAAGAGGAAGAAATAACGATAATTCCTTCGGCCAATACAGTTGTTCACCCAGGGACAGTGGTGGTCGAAATCCTGGGAGAAAGAAAAAAAATAATGAGGATGCATGTCAAAGTAAATAGACAGCTTAGAGGGAATGAGGTTAGATTGCAACCACAAATAAGAAATCTTAGAGGCACACAGCCGTTTTTAATTCCAGCCGAGTCCGACATGTCAGGTGGAATTTCAGATGAAAAACAAAAGGTATGCACGCAAAAAATATTTTGAAAAGCTTTATAGCCCCTTCTTGAAAGTCATGTAGGTTAAAAATGAAATGTCAAAGTGTTTCAGCCATATCTATAAATTAGGGCTGCAACTAACGCATTTCTGCAAATCAGTTCATCTGTTGGTTATTTTTTTGATCGTTTAATAATTGGATGGCAAAATGTTCCTTAAAGATTTTTTTTTACTAAATTAAACCAGGTGAAACTAATACTTTTCCCCTTGAGGAGTTCTGGAAAGAGCATGTTGACAGATGAAAACTTTTTTGTTTATATATAGATTTTTTTTACAATTTTAATTTAATCACTGCTTTAACTGGGTCGCTCTGTAAACTAAAGGTATATTTTATAGTCTCTATACTCCAGTTGATGATTAATCGATTACTAAATTAGTTGGCAATTTTCCAATAATCAATTAATCCGATTAGTTGTTCCAGCCCTACTATAAATAGATCAAAATGCAAATGTATCAGCTGGACCCAGTACCTGGCCCATTGGGCTTAAGAGATACAAAATTTAGCAAAGCACAGCAAACACAGTGGTTTGCAAAAGTATTTGTACCCTCTGAACCTTTCCACATTTTGTCACATTATTTCCATTGGAATTTCATGTAGAAGATCAACACAAAGTGGTTCACAAATGGGAATTTGAAATGAAATTATACTTTCTTTTTTCTTTCACAAATAAATAGTCTGAAATACAATCTGAAAATGAAATTGTGCAGAAGTATTCACCCCTAATGACTGAATGCTTAGCGGAACACAGTTTTGCTGCAGTTATAGCAACCAGTCTTATATCGTGTCTTTTAGCTTTGCACTAGTGAATGAATGTTTTGCCTAGTCTTCTTCGCAAACTCAATCAAACTAGACGGAGTGTTATTGAACAGCAGTTTTCAGATCTTTACAGGTTCACAATTAGGTTTCGGTCTGGACCTTGACTGGGGCCATTGTGTTTAACCATCCCATTATAGCCATGTCTCCATGTTTAGCATCGTTAGAAGGTGAACATACGCCGCAGTTTAAAGTCTTGTGCAGACTTCTGCAGAGTTTCTTCCAAGATTGCCATGTATTTTACCCCATCCATCGTGTCTCAACTCTGATCAAATTCTCCTACCTGCTGAAGAAAAGCACCCCTCAGCATAATGCTGCTACCACTATATTTAACAGTGGGGATGGTGTGTTAACAGGGACAGGCAGAGTTTTGGCCAAAAAGTTCACTAACTGTCCCTTCTGAACAAAACAGTTTCATCCACGTGTTTGCCGTGTCCCCAACATGGCTAGCCTGGTCAAACAGACTGACTTAAGCCTTTTACACAGCATATCAGCCAAGTAGGCAGCAACTAGAGCCCGATTTCATAAGTCTGACTAATTGAGTCAAGGAAAACAGGTTAAAACAAATCAGATCACTAGAAATGTAACACAATCATCTATTCTTTAAAAAAATATATATATATATATATATATATATATAAAAAAAAAAAAAAATATATATATATATATATATATATATATATATATATATATATATATATATATATATATATATATATATATATATATATATATATATATATATATATATATATATATATATATATATATATATATATATATATATATATATATATATCTATCTATCTATCTATCTATATATATATATATATATATATATTAGGGTTGTCACGATACTAAACTTTTCAACTCGATACCGATACTAAGGAAAATATTCGATACTCGATACCATTTTCGATACCACAAGGATAAAATTTCAACTGAAATATTTTGATTAATAATTAAAATACAATAAATAAATAAATACAATAAACAATAAGAACAACATTTTGAGGTTGTTTTCTGTGCACAGTATTTAGCAAGCTTGATAAAAAACTTACAAAATTAAAATTAAGTTTTCCTTCCTTGGCTATGCTTTGCACACATAACAATGACACTAGCCAAACCAGTTAAGAAACAAAAATAATTCTCAGCAGCTGCAACTGTTACAAAAAAAGTCTGAAACTGAAAAGTGCACAGAATTATTCGATCACACAGTGTTCAGAAAGTGCATTTTCCTCTATTCTGCACTTTAGATGAATGACTGTTTAGGTGCGACTGGTACTCGATACTTTTGAAAATGAGTATTGTATCCAGATACAACGTTTCAGTATCGATACTTTTTTGAGTATCGATACTTTTGACAACCCTAATATATATATATATATATATATATATATATATATATATATTTTTTTTTTTTTTTTTTTACAGCAGCCAGTTATTGATATCTACAGGTCTTTCAAGACACAATAAAGGGCATCATTAAAACATCCCTTTGCTGCAGCTGCAATCTTGTGTTGGTCTTTCCCCTAAAATTCCAATAAAAAAGTGAAAATATGCATAAATAGTTTAGCAAGCCACTACATTTAATAGACACGTGTCTGTGGCAGGTTAAGAAGTGTCTTAGCGGTTAGAGCAGAGCGCTTGTATTCTCAGGAGGTTGTAGTACCAAGCTCAAACCACAGAGACTTCCTCCAGGTCCCTTAGCAAGATCTTTAGCCCAGATAGCTGCCTGAGGGCTGCAGACTGCCTAAGCAGTGGCTAAAATGTAGAACACAATTCTGTATTACTGTAGATCTGCAATAACTAATAAAGTTAATTATCAATTTAAAAAAAGAAATCGATCTTGAACGGCTCAGATAGTTTCCCATATTTAGATGATTATTACAGCATGCATATGTCCACGTTAGCATTTATACCTCCACACAGTTGTCGCAGACTGAGCAGTGAGAGCAGCGCGGCGGTCGGTAGAACCGGCAGGTTGAGCACCACTTCATCCGCACCTGGATGGCTCTGATCTCAACAGTCTTGTAGAGAGGAGCACGGAAATCATCCTCCTTATCCTCATCCTCCTCAGCTGCAGACAAAAATAATGCAAAACACACCTTAAACACATCATTTGTTTAAATTAAGGTGTGTTTGGCAGAAGAATCTCTAAAATGGAGAGGACACACACCCGTGAAGACCAGAGAGGCCTACCCCTTTCTATATAAAGCTTATCCATTGGTACGGCAACAACCTATTTTGTCATGCATTTGCATCATTTGCATGTGCACCACATCCTTACCTCTGGGGAAGACTCCAGGATCCATGAATGTAGCCATGCAAAAGTTGGCAAGAGTGAATAGAAAGATTACAGCCATGTAGATGGGGACCACACTTGAGATGTCCTCTGACAACCATGGACAACTGGAAGGGAGATTCATTAAAACAACTTAAAGAATCAGTTTGGTGTAATATGGTAAGATTTCTAGATAAAGATAGAACAAAAAAAAACTAATTTTCACTCCATAGACATCTGAAGAAGAGTATGTGAGAAAGACAAATTAACTCCCGAACGCCTCCATTGAGACTGCAGAGGCTAAATTTATACCACATGCAGAGCTGTAACAGCGTGAAACTGCGGGAGCATTACTGAACAGAAGGCAACAGTGGTCTAGAAATTCTCAGTATGAACAAATAAAAGCTAAGAAAACCACAACAGCAGCAGCTTTTAATTCTACACAATGTTTTAGGACAAAGGGTCATCTTAAAAGAGTATTTTTCGAAAACTTGATCTACTTCAGTAATTCAATACAAAATGTAAACCCTTGAAATATTTCATTACAACATTATTCAACATTATACATGAAACGTTATCTTTATCCATCCAAAAAAAATTACTTGTTTTTCTTTTGAAAACTTGGATTTCCATGCATCTAAAAAATTTTTTTAATTCAGCTACACTATGTATTGGTCATGTTTTACAAAACCGATGCCAACAGACAAACACAAAATCGCTAAAGAGGCTGGCTGTTCACAGACTGCTGACCACAAGTGATGGCAATGTTATTTATTTTTAAAAAAATTAACTAGTTTTACTTACTTCATCAAGTTAGTAACTTAGTAATTGCACGAACTAACTAGTTATAAGCTAAATTAACTAGGTACTCAATCTTTATTAAAACTGGAAAAGAATTTACCTGTAAATACAACTGGAGGTAGGTATGCAATATTTGTTACAAGTGTAAAATGTGTAATAAATGTTGCTAAAGGCAGCAGCTGTCAGGTAGTTTTGAGATGTGAGGAGGACCTTCTTTAGATGACAGCTGTTTCAGTCGTACATTAAGTTTTCTGTTCCTGGATAAAATGATCAAATCAGAGCAACATTTTGGCTTTGACAGCGTTTTTTTTAAATAAATGCTAACATTAAATCAGTGGCTCTTCGCCATCGACTCTCCTCTCAGTCTGTGTTCCAGGCATGCTGAACACTCGCCCACATTACAGCTCCTTATCGTGCTCATCTTGCACTAGCTGCAGTAAAAATCTCCTTCCCATGCAGGGAGTGTGCATATGTAAATGCTAGTGTAAAACTAGAACAGTTATGGAAAGTCAAGTAAAAGAAAAATGTGGGAGAAAGAACAACACGGATAACTAGTGTCTGCGAAGTAGATCCACTGAGGAGCTCAGGGGTCTGGAGTTATTGAGTCAAGAACAAAACAAAGATGTATGCAAAATGCAGTGTACAGCTGTTTGCTCCTTCAGTTGGAAACTCCAGAATCATAAATACTATTAGAAGCATCATGTCTGGGTAACTTTTATTCAATGGCCAACATCATATTTCCTTCAGAAATCAAGGCCCCAGAGTCCCCGGACGAAAAGTTAAAAAAGAGTGTAAATCTAAATTACTTGACATTCAGACAATCAGAGATGATTTGGAGATTCACAACATCTGCAGGAGTTCTCTGTGCTTTATTAAATCAAAGGTCAATACAGCCTACAGCCTATCAGGATATTTTACAGCACTTCATACTTCCTGCTATTGAAAAGCTTTTTGAAGATGCTGGTTTCATTTTCCTGGAGTACTTGGCATCTACCCACAATCTGCACCAACAGTTGGTATCCCAACCAAGCTGGCCAAATGATTTGAATTACTGAAACAAACTTTCGTTACAATTATGCTTTGTGTGCACATTTAAAGGTTCGATATATATTGATACATCTGTAAAAAAAACAAAAATTTTTTTTATCAAGATGGCTTTAACAAAAAGATAATAAAATGAATAAATACTCACGTGAAGCAAAAGAAGAGGGTTGTGGCCCCAACCAGGAAAGTTGTGGCTGCAGACACCGGCACATATCGGCTGGGGCGAAACGGACGGGGAGGAGCAGAAGCTGGGCCCCCTACTCCTCCCCCAACCACCCCACCACTGAAACTGGGCATCAGTGTCAGAGAGGAAGAAGAGAGGAAGGTAGATATTCAACAGTCTACCTACTGTGGAAGTGGGTTTTACAGTTCAAAATGGGAATTTTGGTGTTTAAGAGGGTTCATGGGTAAAGACTGGAAAACTGACGCTATGATAACAAGAACCTGAATGAAAACATGAGGGGTTCTTTGTGCGCAGATTTAAATGTCCCCTGGCACCAATTTAAAACCTTTTTAAACACACAGAACTAGAATGTGCACAGCTTCTTTACATCATTAGATTCTATGCATACTTTTTTATCTTTATACAAGACTAAACGGTACAAAAATATATGTATGCAATTTATAAATATGTTATGGCTTAATGTTACTGTATTTGGTGCAGTAATGCAACAGTATAAATACTGCTGTGCATATACAAAAATGAAAAACAAAAAAACAACATGCACAAAACCTAAAAACTGGGGTAGTATTTCATCAAATGTTCATCACTGTGCTTGATTTCTGATTATCCTGTTAAGATAACAGAATAAAAGGAAAACTAAAGAGGTAGTCCATCAGACAGAACAGAAGCACATGGAGCAGAAGAGGCAGACAGGATTGAGCACAGCAGCTGCTGATGACTTCGTCCCCAGGGGGCTTATTTAGGCACTGGATGGGTGGAAGAAACTCAGGATGGTGACAGGAGATGCAGTTCTGGCATTTCAAACTCGGTCAGGAAGGAGAACCAACTCAAACAAATCCACCTTTAAGTTAGTTGTGGGAAGCTTCACAACATAAAAAAAGTGTACAAATGGGAGTGATTAAAAAAAATACTTTTAAGAGTTCCAAAAAAGGCCTAAAGAGTTTTAAAGAGTTAAACATAAAGTTGTTTGCTTTAAAAGGTTAAAAAAAAAAATTAACATCCACGAGGATTCTGTTCAAGTCTTCAGACAGGACTCTTCAGTCTGAAGCTTCAGACTCTACTTGTACTGTGACAGAATCAACTCCTTCCATAAAGAAGCCCAACATAGCTCAGCAAGGTGCCACTGCTCTTGGCCTGGGATTGGTGCTGCAGGGACCCTTCCCACCTCTTTCTTCGCAGAAAGCCGTCCTCTCTCATTCTGCATCCCTTATGGAAAGTGACCAGCTGCTTGGATATCATGTAGATGGATACATATCAGCCCTCTTTGTTTCTTTGGTTCAAGGTTCTCCTTCCTGCTCTGGCTCTGTAGATGAACAGCAGAATATACCTGAAACAGCAGCAAAATAACATATTAGGAAGTCTGAAAGGATTAAAAATATACATATCATGCATACATATGACTTTAAAAAGTTAAAAGGACAACTTTTAGATTTGTATTTTTCACAAATCTGCCCCTCAAGGTGTAAGCTTTGTTTAAAGAAAAAAAATGCCACAAGTTTTGTTGGTAATAAGTCAGGAGAGATTAAAACTTAACTTTCTGGCCAATGTTTAATAAGCTGTGTGATTAAAATCCTACACCACACATCAACACAGTAAAACATGGTGTTGGTAGCATCAGGCAGCGAGGATGCTTGTAAGCCAATGCTGGTAGACAACATGTCAGATGGTTGAAAAGTACCTTTTAAAGTGGGTTCCTACAGAAGGCGCTGAACGCAGGGATTTCTGCGATCCCCACAGGTAGTTAACTACTCTGCATTTCAGATGCAGTGTTTACACCATGGACCGCATCAATAAATAGGAGGAGCTTCAGCCACATGAAGCTGAAACCTGACCGACTTGAAAAAAAGAACTCAGCAAGTAGACTACGTTGTTATTGGGGTTTTTTGTGCAAGTTTGTGCATTTTAAATGGTCATTTGTAAAAATGAAAAAATAAGTAAAAAAGATAACATGTGCTGCTGTTGCTTCAGAAATATTAAAGATTATTTTTTAGGTCACCCAGAGGTCAACTATGACCCCATTAAGCTCTGAATTGAATCTAATTTATCTATCCTACTTTTTTTCAGTGCTACTTCATTTGTGCAGGTAAAACTATCATTTGTACTGATTTGTTTTTTTAAGATAGAATTATTTTTAATTTTGGCCAATGATGTCAACATCCGAGCAGACGTTTGTGCTTCACTTGTTTCCTGAAATAAATTTATTGAATAACATCACAAGTCATTCCTGTCCTGGTATTGAATAGAACAGTTGGCATGTTTAGCTCATTTAGTGGCTGGAGTGATTGATTAATATTTATTAAATCACCAGCCTCCCAGATCCTTTGCTTTGGACCTGTCATTACCCCTAGAAACTCCATGTAATTTCCTGTAAAGATCTTGAGCTGTCTGTCGGCATTTCACAATAAAAGCACAGGTGAAACTTAACACCATGGACTGATTCTAAATTGTTCCTTATAAAACTTTAAAATCGCCTTGGGGAGACCATAATTTTTTGGATAAGCACCAAAAGCTCTGAGAAAAAGAGTCGACTTTGCTTCATCCAGATACAGGTCTGATTTGGTCGGATTAGGCGGGACTTCCTTATAAATCTACCCGCTCGGATAGCACCGATGCTGGGCTGCGTGCAATGACAGACTGGGCTCTGTGCTGGAGGTGAGTGAGGATGAGCAGTATTTCCAGGACTAGATTAAAATGGCTTTTTTTTAAAGCCACTTCAGACCCCTTCAGCACATTCCTTATTTCTACATTTTTTTAATATAATTTTCTCTGTATTCGTTTTTAAGTGAAAAAAAAGGCTTTGCCTACAACCAGTCCGATTGGCTGCCATGTCACGACTTCATAGGAAAGTGCTCCTCTCACTGCTCCTCTCTCTCCACACGGAGCTGTCGTTTTGAAACACCTCAGTTTTATCTAGCAACACGACAAGAGGGAGGAGCAGTGAGCGCTCTCACTGCGTGGAGTTCACCACTGGTCGCTTCACCGCCCGGTTTGTACAGGAATTCTATGCAAATCCACGGCGTTCACTAAAGCTGCCGCATGTGGCCTGAACGCACCATTAGGCATCAGCTAAAAGTAAACAGTAACAGGCAGGTTAGGGTCCAGACATAAATTCGATTCCATACATTAAAGAAACCTTAATCAGACTTGTAAAATAATGTTCAAAACTTTTTATTTTAGATGTGCACAGCATGAGTATAACATACGATAGTCCAGAAATGGTACGGCAGCACTTACAGAGAAACGTCCTCCTTACTATTCAAGTTAGTGAGTCAAGAGTTAATAGAAGTGTATATGTTGTGGTGGTGAAGGAGCACAATGTGCAACCCATTTTCAGCTGCCTTATTCCTCAAAGTGACGGGCAAAGGCTGAGGACCTTTGTCGCATGTTTTCCCTACGCCATTTCCTCAGCATTAATAAAGACTCAATAAAACAAGGATGAAACTTGGCAACCAATTAAAATATAATTGTCGATGAGCCTTCTCAGAGTCCGGACTGGCTTCAAAGGTTAGTCTGTAATCAAAAGGTAATTACCAGATTCAGTCTCAACATATTTACTAGTGATGGTGGTGGTGCTGTCTTTAATAAGAAATAAAAGCAGTTCCTTTGTCTTGGTGATGTTATACTTTAAAAAAGGAGGACTAACACCACTGAGTCAAATCTCTGACCACTGGCTCATGATCATGGTCACTGCTGCTGAGAGGGGACAGGATGACAGACTCATGAGTCAAGTTTAAAATGTGACATTGTGAATGCTGGGTATTACAATCACTGATAAATGTAAAATAAAAAAGGGAGAGACAACGCAGTAAATGTGATTCGTATGGAACTTAAGTGACACCATTTTAGCTTGGCGTAAATTCAATATAAGCACATTTGGCTATGGAATTATTATCCAATTAATCAAATAAATAAAAGCTTAAATAATTAGACGGTCTGTAAAGTCTGAATACGGTTAAAAGTAGTGTTGCGGAGATGGCATTTTTTTGGCCGCGATACCGATACCTGGCTGTGCAGTATTGGCCGATACCAATACAATCTGATTGAAATTGATGTGTGTGTGTGTATATATATGAAGTACTGCATACTACTTGGATGTAAAATAATTGCCATTGCGGCTTTCTCAAGCTGCTGCCTACGTTTGTAAAGCAGGAAAAAGACGCAAGAGCAGATTTCACTTCGGCAACTGCAAACATCAAATGTAGCCTGGGTCTGGTCACGAATCAGTTTTGCTGGTATGCTTCTGCACCATCGGTTTGGAATTTCTAGGGATGAACAGCAGTTCTCTGCCAAAGCGAAAGCCTATTTGAGAACTCGCAGGAACTTTGACGGATGGTCACGAGGACTTTGGCGACGCCGGCGGGAGTGTTTATCTTCCAAAACAACAATGGCGCATCTGCAAGCTATCACGGTCACGGACATGGATCTAGAGTTGCTAGACGTCGAAGAGGAATAGGTTCTGTTAATGGAGCGATTAACATTTCGTCATAGTTTCGTCATTGTAGTTTTTCCTCGGTTTTTAAAAATGGCGTGCCCCGGCACCGAATCGAGAAGTACGACCACACAGACAGCGGGAAAGGCATACGAAGGACCAATCACAGCTGCTTTTTGTCTGCGAACTTCCGCTTGAAGTCTGCGTGGGTTTACAACCGTCTGAAGCATAGTCAGGATTTTTTTGAGGTGTGCAACGACAGTTGCAAAACCTCTGCGCGGTGACGAGGTCACGCACAGAGATAGATTTGACGACTGCAGAGGCTATGCGTCAGAAGCATAAATTGGCCTTAATTCAAAGTGAATCCAGTAGAACTTTTTATTGCTTATCTGGAATGGGTGACAATAGCTGAATAAACTTTTGGCTCTAAAAATGGTCTCGGTGCTCTATTTGTTGGTACTCACCGATACCCCGCCCGATACTAGTATTGGTGCAACACTAGTTAAAAGCCGACAAGAAAATGTATTGAAAGCAGCCTTACAAGTTTTTTTTTTTTTTTTTTTAGTCCCTTACATGTCTTAGTCATGTTTAAAAGACTTTCTGTTTCATCTTCTACCCCTCTACCAGAACCATATTGACTAAGAGGGGATGAGTACAAACAAAAACTTTGAAAATCGTGTAGCAACACATTTCTAAATCATAAGATTATAATACTGGTTGGTCAGTCACATAAATGTGTTGAAGTTTAAATAATTTTCCAGGACACTGTACAGTCTTTTAAAGTTATTTAACTTTAGCTCTCCAAAGTTGGGTTTCATTCTGATTTCACAACAGGCTAACAGAAAACTGTAGCTCCAACTCTTCTCACCATTACTCATGGACTTATTTAACTGACTGCTGTTAGACAGCCATAACGTCAATGCCCTCAGGCGTAAAATGAAAACACCTCCCAATACTAGAAATGCACATCATCGCGGGGACAAAGATCTGTGACACACACACACGATCACGATGCTTGTTTACTTTAACTGGAAAAGAAAACTGGTGTTGCAGAAACCAAGGGAAAACGGATCCGATGTTAACGGTGTAATCTGATAGTCTGAAAGACACACCCCTCTGTCCAACAATCATCTGCATACGGTAATCAGGAGCTCGGCCAGGGACACTGTAAAAGCTCTCCATGTTAATCATCTCATCTTCCCCACAACAAATCCCCCCCACCACCCAGACTATAATGGATGTTAATCCTAAATCCGTGTCGAGCTCTGCTGCTTGTCGTGTCACTACTACAACCAACACCGCTAAGTGGCCAATATAACACCTTTACCCCGAACTAAAACAGAGGGTTGAACAGATTAATAAATATATGATACAAGTGAATAGGTTAAGATAAGAAAAGGAGCAAGGCCAGGCGAGCGTAACTCAACTATCGTTACCCATAATCTACTCACCGCGGACATTCTCATAAAAACACAAATACCAAGACTAAGAACAACCTTTTATTTATTTTTTTTATTTCAAATAATAAATGAAAAGACAACTATCGATATAGGAATGGCTCACATGATTTGTATCCAGCCTCGAAAGTTTTTTGCGACACTCCTCGGTCTTTTACCACAGCTACAGGAGTGAGCTAGCGTTAGTTACCTGACTAGCATGAAAGCTGCTCGTAGAGAAGCTTTCATGAGGATTCGATGAACAAATGCCGACACTTTTATCCCAATAGTTTAGTAAATGGAAACAACAAAACACGTACCCAAATGTCGACGGTTTGAAGTGTCTTTTCTGTGTCGTGTGGGTCGGTTTAGCCCTACTTCAGTTAGCCACCAACAACCTACTTAGCCGCTCTCTAGGCCGACATCGGAATCCAGGAACTGGCTTGTCTTTTCCCTGCTTGGACGAACAGCCAATCAGAAGTAGGATGGGCGTGGCCTCCAGGAAGAACGACAGGATACCTTTTTATTCCTAAAGCGATGGAAGAGGACGGGTTATTTTTGTTTCAAAACTATTTCTGCATTGTAAGTGTGAATTTGAAGTTGTAGAGAGAGTTACATTCTAGGTTTTGTATGTGTAGAATAAAAGAAAAAAAAAATCACAATGTACATTTTTTTTTAACACCTGTTCAAATTTTAAGTACAAGTACACAAATTCTGTTCCACAAGTTGCACATCAAAAACCTCTTAAATTCTCAGTTTTGCTTCAAATTGTTCAGAACTATTGTTGCAAAATTATTTATGCATTGTAACTTTGGTGTTTTTTTATTTAACTGTAGATTTTTTTTTTATCTAACACAATTACAAAAAAAAGTTACACCTCTTCAAATTCTTGAGTACAAATACACAAATTGTGTTCTGTGAGTTGCACATCCCAGTATAGTAGAATTCTGACTTTTTTCTCAGAATTCTGACTCTTTTTCTCAGAATTCTGACTTTAATCTCAGAATTTTGAATTTTCTTCTCAGAATTCTGACTTTTTTCTTATTTTAAACTGAAATAAATAAAAAAAAAAATAAGTAAACTTTTTTTTTTTTTCAGTGGTCTATTCCTCTTCCGTACGAATCTGCTGCTGTGAGTCACAAATTCAACGCTACAAGTTTTATTTATTTATTTATTTATTTTTATTTCAAAACTTAGAAAGTTACAGATCACGTTTGCATGAAGGGAAAACAAAGACAAAGAAAATAAAGTAAAATACATAAAAGACAATTTTCAACATCAACAAAGTAACAAAAAATAAGTATCAGTAAAATTAATTATAAAGTTAGAGTAGATAAATGTTGTAAACATTTTGATGCTGATTCACGCTTTAATACAGAAATACAGATTATATAATTTTTTAAGTCAACTTTAAAAACACTGAAAAGAGGTTTGTTCTTCATAAATTTTGACTTATGGAGTTACGCCGGTAAAAATGATCAATGACTTGTGGGTAGTACCCTTAATCCAACAGCAGGGGGCGCTACTTCTCGATCACTCTGAACCAACTGGAAATACATACATGGCCTACTGTAATGTTGCCTTCCAAGGACCCAGCCGCCGTATGCCGACACAGGATGCGTTCGAATTTAATGCTCTAATGCAGGGGTCTTCAAGGTTTTCCAGGCCAAGGTCCCCCAAACTGAGGGCGAGATGGAGCGGGACCCCTAATTATACATACTGTATGAAATTGCTTTATATCAAACTGCTCCTATAGTCACTTTATTACAGATGAGGTAATGTGACAAAAGTTATTTCACCCTGGGATTATTAAAGTATTTCTGATTCTGATTCCTGGTTGATGGGACAGGTGTTGTGAATGAAACGGTGCCCAGCATGAAAGAGCTCCTGTGTGTCGCTGAATGTGTGCATTGATGACTGAAAGACATCGTCTGCCACCATTTATCTGTTTACATCAGTGTCTTAAATTCATGTTAATATGTATTTAAAGACATTTCAATTAGTGGAAAAAACTTTTCACGACCCCCATGCAGTACCTCTGCGGACCCCTTAGGGGTCGTGGACCCCCTGTTGAAGACCTCTGCTCTAATGCTTTGAAAAAAAGGAGACCGGAAGAGTTTCGGCTGTGAAGTCAAACAGGTCTAGCCTTCGACGGCTTTTGCCGCCGTAGGCTCTGTCGCTTAGCAACCGTGACAGTTGACACACAAAGCAGGGGAAGAATGAATCCCGAACTTTTCAAAAATTTTTCCTTTCATTTATTTTTTTTTTAGAAATATTTTCCACTGAAACAAACTCAATTGTTGATGTTCTAATTAAATAACTTCTTAATTTGATCAGTTATAAATATTGGGAGTAGATTTTTTGAAAGCAACAGTGAACAGCTGGTTGCATTAAGTTGCTAACCTTGCAAAATTCAGCATGCATATGGTGAAGGTGGCACGAAAAACTCTTAAAAGGAAGGAAATGAGAGAGGCAAAACTTCCAGTGCTTTTAATGCTAAGGATGAAAAGTTAATGTAGCAGATGTTCTTCCAATGGCTTCATCTCTAAAGGAAACATGGTTTAATATATTTGGAGCCTGTAGTGAATTCTCTAAAATGCAGAACGATGCAGCAGCATGAGATCCTTCACCTTTATGGCAAAATGTCAGAAGACACAACCTGCAGAATTACTATGATAGTAAATTGCCAGAAGATGAGCAGGAAATGGTCAACACTTTACAGCAGCATCAACAAGTAAAAGTCAAGTCAGCAGAAAAACACACTTAAACTAAAATCAGAATATTTCTAATTAATTTCAATTTCATATTTAAATACTTGTAACATGCATATTGTGTGCATCCTATTTCTGTAAATAAAGGCGGTTTTGACAAACCCCTCATTTGTGCTGCTCAATATACCTGGAAAAATATCCAAGTTAATGATGAAAAAAATTCAGAACAGTCTGAATATCCACCGAGGTGGATGTTTACACACCAAATATCAAATGAACTCCAAATGCAGTTCTCCTAAACATGAACTGTTATACTGGTAGTGTTGCTACTGGTATACGCTAAACAGGTTGGTGCCATTTGCAGACACCTCTTCTACACCAAACACAAACACCCCAAGACTGGCCTTTAGTTTAAAAGTGAGATTCCCTTAAGCTATAATTCGGGGCAGATTGTGTGACTATAGAATAATTGCAGTGGAAATACAAATGTTTGAGAGTTAAAGCAAACTTAACACTTGGGGCTTCTCAATGTTAAAATTTTATTACACAAAAAGAAAAAAAACATTTTTATAAAACCAGTTACCAAGAGTCAACTATAAAACATATGATTTAATTTGACATACTCTAAATGTTTTCTTTTAAATCTTTGCACAAAAAAAAACCTCAGAACCAGAAAGCATCAGGAATGCTGACTGGTATTACTTCATCCCCAAACATGAGCTTTTATTTCATGTCCATAAATCGGATGTCCATGATGAGCAGAGTGTGTCTGGGCAGAGGTCTGGGTGCAGGCGACAGCACCTTCATTACCTGAGCCTGAGTGTCAACATTCGTCACCACAATGAACCCACACACAGGGCTCTCCACGATGCTCTTTCTGGCATCTTCATCCCCGTCATCGACACTGCTCACACTCAGCACGTGATATGTCAGGTCCCTCCCCGGAGTCACCGGCACCAGCTTCAGCTGCGTGTCGTCCTGAGACATTCCCAGCGGCAAGCACGAGTCCGGGATGGACGGCGCCCCGATCTTATAGATGCGGACATCTGAAAACCGCACCTCGAAGGAGAAAGGGAAGAAGGACAGTCCACGGAAGCCATAGAAATACTCGCGGATCTTTTCATCCCGAGCGTCCCGCCGGCACTCTTTGGAGCGTTCCACCACTCCTCCGGACTTTGGCAGCAGGACAACGCGTACAAAGTGAGGCAGGTCCCTTTTCAGTTCATTGTAGAGTCTTTCGTGGTCAAGCACAAGTACCACATCCACCTGGAAGGTGGAGGCGCAGTGAACCAGAGCCTGGTACCCAGAACCCTTCACCCAGCCGCAAGTGTTGATGATGCAGCCTCCAACGCTGGCCTTCCTGTTTACCTCGCAGCGCTGAGAGAAAACCTCTGCCAGGCATGATGTCAGCTACAATAAGATAAAAAACAGTCAGAGAAAAACAATAGAAACCTTTTATCAGCAAAGTGCGAGATGTTACTACTCACTTTGTTGTAAAGTTTGATGTTGGTTCCGGGAGTAGTAGAACCAAAGTGATACACCAAAGGAGCCTGGACAGAGAAGCCCTCCTCCACATCTGCCGGACGCTCGATACACAGAGCTGATACAGTCCCTGGAACAGAAACCTAAAACAACCAAATAACATTTACTGTTTAGTCCCAAGAACAGCCGGGAGATTTTTCCTTAGTCAGGACATAAATCTAGAACCCAGAAAAAGACATCTTTGCAACACCATCACACCAGCAGATTCTTTAACACACATTCTACATCTACATTTATCTTGTCTTTGTATCAGCTCTGGTAATGAAAAGAATAACATGTTCCATGCATCGAATGGCTCCAAGCATTAACACAAATTTACCTAGATACACATCAGCTAGAGCCGCACTGTGAAAGAACTGATATTAGCAATGACAGGGCTAGGTTAACAGACCTTCACTTTGTTTTTCTGCAACAAATGAAATACCGTGATAGGCAAATTAGCAAAAAAAAAAAAACTTTACCCCACTCTGTCCGACATCCAGCTCCACCAGTGTCGGTCTCCTTCCAACTCTCACAGCGTAGCTGAGAAGCAGTCGGCACACGGTAGACTTCCCAACATCTGTAGGTCCCACCACCATCACCTGGAAAATAGATTGTTTTATTCAGGAAGCAGATTAAGGTTTTTTTCTTTTGTTTCTGATGCTTTTATAAAACAATCCTTATAAGAACTTACTCTGGGACCTCTTTCATTTTCCCGCTCTGCCTGTTTTCTCATCTGTTCCAGGGCAGCATGAGTGTTAAGGTAAAGCAGCATAGGAGTATCCTTGGACACATAGGCCACCTGTGGTGATAACAGTGTGATTAAAACTCTAAAAATTACACTTATTGAAAAATAAATGAATGGGAGGAGCTCTGAGAACAACCTAAGATAATGTTTAAAATGGGCTACTTGAGAAGACATGTTTTTCTTTACACATAAAATTAATACTGGCAAAAATGACATGGTTTATAAGAAGATCACCTCTGGCTTCCCAAAAAGATTCACACTGCAGCCATGCCAGGTGAAAACTGCGATCTTGGATCCTGCTCCAAAGGTGTACTTCCTGTTTCTGTTCAACTCGGACCCAAACACCTCAGCCATCCCCGTCAGGAGCTCCAGCTCCACCTGTTCCGCGGCCTCCCCGGCCTCCACCTCGAAACGAAGTTCGGTCTCCTTCTCCAAGTCGAACCTGGTGCACACCTTCCCAGAAGAGGTAGCATCCTCGCTGGCTTTTTCCACCCCCTCCGCTGCCATCACTACCAGGAGACATCAAACCACTTTCAAGTTTACTACGAACAGTCAGGAAGAAAAACAAAAAAACACCATAGAGCAGAGCTAATAGTTATTAAACCATAGGACTGCATTAAGTAAAGATTTAAACCAGAAAGCGAGCTCACACAGAAAACAAGCTAGCACAGAGTTAGCATACCAATTCTAAACTACAAATTAACAAAACAATAACAGAAGAGATTCCATACAAATGCGCCACATCTCCCCGGCTGTTAATAACGTAGTTAATATGCTGTTTTATTCTCTGTAAAATACTCACACGTTAGATCTGAAGCTTGTATTGAAGATTAAAAAATAGTACACTCCTCATGAGGCCCCCGGTCGCGTAATAATGACGTCACGTAAAGGGGTATCCGTAACTTTGGTAACTAGTGCCCCCTTGTGGCTACAATTAACACTGCAACGTCCACTGAGTATTCAAGGGCTTATTGATGTCAAATAACGAACAGATAAGAGTTTATTACACCACTTGTACAAAGCTTTAAAAAATAGTCATAATACCCACGGCTGGTTGTTATAAACCTCTACAGGCACTTTTTGGAAATGGCTGATTTGGAAGCATTGCCAGAGCTCTTGGACACCATCCCAGATTGTATGCAGAGATATTAAGCAGCAAACATATCAGAGGGGTGGTTCTCTGATTTTTTGTGCACTTTGGGTTCTCGTTACCAAAGTGTACCACTAAAATTGTCTTTTTCAGCATTGCTTCTTCTGAAAGACTAACTGAACTTTTGAGAAAAGATGTTTCCCCACCTTAAGCATCAAATCACAAACATTAGGAACTTCTTTTACTTAGGTTTAGCCCAAATGTAAAATAACTTATTGAAAGTATTTGATTCAGAATTATGTTTTAACTGTGAAGTAGAGTGTAGTGACTCATTGTAAATGCTGCTTTCATAAATTATGAAAATACTTTAATATAAACGTTGGATCAGGCTTTTTTATTCTTGTGCTTTAACAATTTTCTAATATTATCAAAATTTATAAAGTATCAGGCGTGAATGAATGACATTTGATCAAGTTAGAATAAAAGTTTTCATAAAACAAATAGTTGGGGGGGAAAAAAAGAAAAAAAAAAGTAGATTTGTAAAGCACTGGGTAAAAAAAAAAAAAACACTGATTGATTGGCTCCATTTGATCGCTGTAACCACAAAACAAGGGTGTTGATAACTTATTTCAGTTAGTCTTTATAAAAAAGAAAAAAAAAGAAAAACACACCAATAAAATAACTTGTAAACACTTTATTCAGAAACTGCTATATAGAAAAATATTAAAACTTTTGAGAACTGGGCTGTAGCACTAGAAAAATGTCTGCATTAGATCAGAGGATCCACCAGGTGTCGCCGTTTGTCCAGAAGTGTTCAGGTGGAGCTGTGTTCATCAGAGGAGAGACTGAACACTCATTGGTCACACCTCATCATTCTGCTTCCACCAGTCAGGTCCTGGACGTTCAGCTACAAACACAAATCTCTGATCAAGGTTTACTCAAAACGATAAGCTGGAGCAAATATTTTATTAAATACAACGGCGACATGTGCTTTTAAATATAAAAAATAAAACAAATCACATTTAAAAAGATTAACTTTGACTGACCTTCACTTGGGGTTTATTCAGTTTTAAGAGCTTCCTGCAGAGCAGCAACAACATCATCAGGCTGAGGAAACTTCAGCTTACGAGGTGGACCCTTCTTTATTCCCGTCCAAAGAGAGATTTCTTTAAAACACAAAACAGAGGCAGGTCATTTTATATACAGGAAACCAGAAAGCCACATCCATCTTTTCTGGATCAGGCTGTTAAGATGCAGGATTACTGCAAAAACTGGAGTCAATTTTAATCATAACACTTTAGATTTCTGTGCTTGTTTGTGACAGGCCAATTGTTTCCAGCAGCTAAATGATTCAAGACTACCACACTGGAAACTTAAAGGGTTAAGACTTGGCAGGACGTTTGGCCTTTCCTTCAGAGGACCAAACGGCCAAGTTATTCTTGGCACTTCCATCTCACCCCCACCCACCTTTGCCTCCATCCAGCAGAGAGATCTCAAAGCTGTTCCTGCGGGGCTTCTCAGGGTTGAGGACCACAGTCAGATCAGGGCGGGCAGCCAGAAGGGCAGATTTAACCTCCTCGGCATTACGCCCATACACTCGTCAGCTTTTACTGCAGGACAAAGAAGTTAATGAATGAACAACAGCACACTGATGTAGACAAGGACAGTTTTGACAGACCACATAAACAGGGACATTTGAGGAGGGTTAGATGTCATGATCTGTAGTCCAGCTGGAATTCAATAGCATGAAGTCCTTGATGCAATAAGCACATAAATAAAGGTGGAAGGAAACTAAAGATTCATTATTAAATCAGGATTTATAGAAATAGAATAAGTTCACAGAAAAGCTGTTTGAAAAACTGCGGAAAGGCTGCAGATCTGTCTACATAAAAAGCTTCAGTCTGCACCTTCTCATCAGTAGAGATATGCTGACCTGAAGCTGTCAAAGACTTAAATCGCAACCTGTTGTCATTATCACTTAGCTGAGTTTACAATAAAATGCTATCATTCCAGATTTACATTTATGAAAAAAAAAAAAAAAATCATGTAGACTCTAATTTTAGATACATAGCATTTTATTAAATAAGATGAGGTGGCCCCTTCATTCAGTGCAGAGCCATAAGTGGCTTTTTGATTCTACTAGGGCTGCAACTAACGATTATTGTCAATGGTTTTTTTTCCATTAATCAATAAAAAATCAGATGGCAAAAGGTTCCTTAAAGATTTTTTTTTAGGAAATTAAACCAGGTGAAACTAAAATTGTTCAACTGAAGGAGTTCTGGTTAGATCACATTGACAAACTTTTGTTATTTATCTTAAATGCAAAATGTTTTATAATTTTTTTAACAATACTGGTAAGGCACATTTTAGAGTATCTATACTCCAGTAAACATCTGATTACTAAATTAGTTGACGATTATTTCAATCAATTAATCCAATTAATTGTTTCAGACATAGATTCTACTGCCCTCTTCATAAATTTGTCCAGCTTTTTTTTATTGTCATTACACCATCACAAGTACAAAGACACAAAATTCCCTCTCTGCATTTAAACCATCCACTTGGGGAGCAGTGGGCTGCCATTGTGCAGCACCCGGGGAGCAGTGTGGGGTTACGAGTCTTTGCTCAGGGACCCAAAGTGGCATTCTTTGGCTCGAACCCAGAACCTATTCCAAGCTCTATGCCCCGACCACTAGACCCCCCATTATTGCCCAGTTTTCTGTTTTATGCTTTTCTGTGTCCCTATGAAAACATGCTGGCCCCACCCAAACATGGTCAGCCTACTCAGCACACCATTTTCAAACCTTGATGTCTTTAATTTTATATAAATGACAACACTATCAGTGCAAATGAGCCATTATTATACAAAGCTCCATCAGTTTGAAAATTGTTTTCTTTTCCAGTTCAAATTGAAGTATTTTAGGTGTCTGTTCCAGAACCAGGGCTTCAGGTGATGAGATGACCTCTGCATGTTTTACTGAAGAACCAGGGAAACATCAGAAATATGCTGACTAATGGGAGACCTAATGTCTGTTAGAAATTTATTTCAAATCAAAATGATAGTAAATATCTGAAAAGGTGCAAGAGATGAACTGCTTAAGCAATCTAATGAGTTTTTACAGAGGTGCCTACCAGTGTTCAATGACCACCTTTAGGCCATTTAGGCCGCTCTCCTCCTCCTCTGCCTTCTCCTTCTTCTCTGTGGATGCCTGCTCCTCCTCCTCCGCTTTGCGCTTCGTCCCTCTGCGGCCTGAACAAAACACAGCAGGCTCCATGTTTAACCCAGAGAAGCTTAAATCACTGTATTAAATAACGGTTTCCAACAAGGAGACGCCATGTTATAAATCAATTTGGAGTTAGCACAAAAATAAATTATTAAAGGTTCCCCTGGAAGTATTACAACTAACGATGTTTTGACCTTTGAGTGATTGGAAATAGTTCTTTTCGGATGTCACCTTCAAAACATGGTTAAAATAGCCAGTTTTTTTAAATATAATTCGTTTTTGAAAAAAATCACACCTACCTGCTTTGGGCGCCATGTTTGTTAGATAAGTTTCGCGCCCCGAGGGACTGAACCATTCCTGTTATTATGAGAGGGGTGGGGACATTAAATAACATGGACTGAACCATTGACAAGAGGAGAGGGGTTTCCACCCTGCTATGTATGGAGAACCATAGATATCCATAATAAAGGCTAGATGTCTTACGGCGGAGTCTCAAACGTCCGCACGTGGCGGCCATCTTGCCACAGGCAGCTCGCTCATTCGTAACATTGTGTTTTAAAGGCGCATGCACTTAAATAACCATAACTTCCTCAAATGTCTAACGATTCTCAAACTGTTTGGTTTGTTAAACAAAAGTCAGACATGTAGTTATGACACTGCACACTTATGAATAATTATAACCATGGAATTTCATATGAAAAGAACATTGAATAGAACATACAGGTGCAATAAATATACACATGCACAAGGTATTTATGTTAAATCAAAATATGCTATTAAAACTCAGTGTACTGAATGGCAACATGATATATCTATATAGATATAGATATATCTATAGATATCTATATAGATAGATATATATCTATATAGATATCTATATAGATATCTATATCTATCTATATATAGATACCTATATATATATATATATATATATATATATATATATATATATGTACATATATATTTATATATATATATATATATATACATATATATATACATATTTATATATATATATATATATATATATATATATATATATATATATATATATATATATATATATATATATATACATACATATTTATATATATACATATACATATTTATACATATGTGTGACTTTTCATTTGGTTTGTCAACACATCTTACATTATGTAACAGGAATTTGCTGGGTTTATTAAAGGGAAGATGCCAGACTTTTGCTAGACATAATAGTATTACATGATTGTTGTTGACTCAAAGCTTTTATAAGTTTGTATTAGTTTCATTTGGACAACTTAAAGATGGTGTTGTGCCAAACATTTTCAACTTTCCAGCTCATCTTCAAAGGGCATGTGTATCATTGAAATTTAATCACATATTGATATACCAATCTTATACACCGTGCATTGTTGTTTGTCACTTTTGTTTTTGTTTCTGCAGGTTATATAATGTGTAAGCAGGAGGAGAAGATCTTCCATCCCTGTTTGCTGACATTCCTGCACTAGTACATGACCACAGCTACCTTCCTGTCCGCTTTGATGGCCTTGTGGACAACGCTCTCTTGTACATCACACAGAAGCTCAATAAAACCTTCCTTTTCAAAGGGCATTAGCCAAGCTATGTTTTTTGGGTCATTTTTTAAATCTCTGCCTTCCATGTGTATACCATCACAGTAGTGTAGGTGGGGATTTCAACATGCTACATCTATATATACTTGTGAAGGGGACTATTGCACCAATTTTAATAGCAAATAAATGTCACTTTTATAATGGTTTAAAAATAGGAACTTTTGTGTAATTACCCCTGATATATAATCCGAATAGTCTACATGAAACTTCAAAGTGTTACCTTTAGTTTGAAACCTGGATTATGCTTCTACATCAAGAGGTTGCCACACAATAAGCCTTTTTTGTCAGTATTTCATATTTTCTTCTAACAATAATATTCATATTATAAAGTATGTATGTAAATATAAATAAATTCGGACTGTGAAATAATTAATCACACCCAAATTAAAAGTGTCTATTTATATATATATATATATATATATATATATATATATATATATATATATATATATATATATATATATATATATATATATATATTTGTGTATGTATATATATATGTATATATATATATGTATATATATGTATGTATATATATATATAAATATATATATAAATATATATATGCAACATATAATGGCAACATATATCATGTTGCCATTCAGAACACTGAGTTTTAATAGCATATATTGATTTAACATAAATACCTTGTGCATGTGTATATTTATTGCACCTGTATGTTCTATTCAATGTTCTTTTCATATGAAATTCCATGGTTATAATTATTCATAAGTGTGCAGTGTCATAACTACATGTCTGACTTTTGTTTAACAAACCAAACAGTTTGAGAATCGTTAGACATTTGAGGAAGTTATGGTTATTTAAGTGCATGCGCCTTTAAAACACAATGTTACGAATGAGCGAGCTGCCTGTGGCAAGATGGCCGCCACGTGCGGACGTTGACCCCCATTGGCCAGCAGCGCGGACGAGACATCTAGCCTTTATTATGGATATCTATGTGGAGAACCAGCAGAGTTTCTGAAAAAGGAAAAACAGCCATTTAAATCCATTTTGAAAAGTGTTTTCTAATTGAATTGTTAGAGAGAAATAGTAAATCGTATTAATCCATTATTTCAAATCCTATTTCTAAATGGATATTTAAAAACCACAATTCATAAATTTGATTTAGAAATATCTTTCCTGATCACACATTTGATAAGTTAGTTCCATATTCCTCTTCTATTTTCTTTTTTTCTTTACCTTTTCCATTACCCTTTAACATGACAAGATCAGAAGATCCAAACATTTAAATGCAAAAAAGTATTTTAATATTTAGGATTATATTTCATAAATTTCTATTATCATTATTATTATTATTATTATTATTATTATTATCCACGCCTTTGTGTCTTCCTATTTAGACTACTGTAACAGTCTATTCTCATGTCTAAACAAAAAGCAGTTGTCTGATCTTCAGCAGGTTCGGAACTCTGTGGCGAGGTTACTGACTCGTACAAACAGAAGGGCTCATATTACGCCAATTCTAAAAGTTCTTCATTGGCTCCCAGTCTCTTTTCGGTTACACTTTAAAATCCTTGTGCTGACCTTCAGGGCCTTTCACGGTCAGACTCCCTCCTACATTAGAAACTTGTTGTGTCCTTATACCCCCTCTGAGGCTGAGGTCTGAGGACCGAAACCTGCTCATGGTCCCTTGTACTCGTTACAGGACAGGAGGAGATCGCTCTTTTCAGGCGGTTGTGCTCTGGAACGATCTTCCACTTTCCTTGCGCTTACTTGATTCTTGATTCTGTTGATGTTTTTAAGAGGGAACTGAAAACCTTTTTGTTTAAAAAACATTTTAATTCTAATAGATTAAGGGTTGTTTTATGAACATGTCTTTTGTCACTGTAAATGTATTTCGTTTGTATTGTAATTTTTTGAAGCACTTTGTGACCTCTATGTCTGTGAAAGGTGCTATGCAAATGAACATTGCTTATTTACTGTCTTATTTTCCTCCTTTTGCTGAAAAAATCTACCAGACTCACCATATGGCCTGTCTAGCATAGCTTAGGGTGACCAAACGTCCGTATTTCCCGGGACATATCCGTATTTCACGTCCTGTCCCAGGCGTCCCAGGTTTTTTTTAGAAAGTGAGGAAATGTCCGGATTTCACTGCGCACAACGCTCCGTGTGACGTAATCCCTGAGCCACGTCTGTTCGAAAACCTAGGACGCATCCTCCAAGGACGCGGTCTACCTAGACTGGATCATTCGAAGTCCTTGAAAATAAGGAGACCAGAAGAGTTTTGGCTGTAAATTCGAACAGGTCCACCCTTCGGCGGGTTTTACCGCCGTATGCTCTGTTGCTTAGCAACCATGAAAGTTGACACACAAAGCAGGAAAAGAATGAATACCAAGGTTTTCAAAACTGTTTGTTTATTTATTTATTTTTTTTTAAGTTAAAGTGAACAAAGACTGATGAGAATCCAGAGTGGAATAAAGGTTCCAACCAGGAACAAATCAAATCAAATGTAATGATAGAAACCTTAGTCAGTTAAATAACCTGCTGCTGTCATTCTGCACATCTCTGATGTTGCTGCTATTTTCAAATATCCATCACTGTAAAAATGTCCATAGCTGCATATTGGTCATTTATTCTCCAGTTTTATATTGTTAAAACACTTTACAGTGTTTAATTTTTATATTTTAACTCTTCCCTATTATGTTATTCTCATACATTTTTCTAAGGTCCACATTTGTGTGACCATTTTCAATAATCTTTCTGCTGCTGTAAATTTGCCCATTGTGGGACAATAAAGGGATTTTCTATTCTATTCTATAAAAGGGGTAGAAAGATATAAGTAAATCTAAACAATGTATGTATAAAAATGTATCTGCAAAATCTCTAATATTCAACAACAAAAAATACTTAGTTAAGCATATTGTGCAAAACAACAATAAAAAAATGAAACTCCTATCAGATTTATAGTTCCCACTCTGCAGATCTGCTAGAATCTGTCCGCGCACATGAGCGATCACGACGCTACGGAAGCCGGCAGACCAAACCAGATGAAAGTGCGCATTCAGCATCTGCTCTTCCAATAATGCAGGCGTAGAAGAAGAAACGTGCTGTTTACCTGTGCAAAGAAAGAAACAACGAAAGAAAAATGTCTGAGGACTTCAGTGTTGAGGAAGAGCATGAGTTCTTTGCCGACCTATACACTACTGTTTATGCTCTAAAAACATTCTAAATGACTTCGTTTCGAGTAAATTCTGGATGCTACCCACTCAGGAAACTTGGAATACATTGGACGAGCAGGAATATTGAAACGTTTTTTGTGGACTTTTATGGACCTTTCTGCTTCGGGCGCTGAGCACCTCCATTATTTGAATGTCAGCAGACAGCAAGAAGCCTCCCAGATCTCCAGATGCATTTGAGATATCAAAAAAGTACTCCAGAGTGTTGTTCAGCATAGAAAATGAAGGCTAATCATGTTTTGGGTGTACTATTCCTTTAATACTTCAACTTTTACCAGAGTGTTTTCAAAATGCAGTATCTATACTTCTACTTAAGTAACAAATGTGTGTATATTGAAATTCAGTGGCCCTTATAGACTAAGTAACATGGCAGGTGAAAAATTTTTGCAATATATAATTAGGATGGACAATATAATGAAATGGAAAGTTGAACCTTTCTCTGAATGCCGAGGCTGGTCCCAGAATTGCGATATGCTCTAGCTCTGTATATGTTTGTTTTCACAATGCCCTACAGATTCCAACTGTTTATTTCTATCCAAATTATTATGTATTTTAATGATTTGCTATTTATCTTGCTTATTTGTCTGTAAACCACATGTGGTGTTTTGTTTGAGGTGGGTCAATAATTAAAAAAATTAGATCTCCAAAACAAACAGAAAAAACACATGGTGACAATAACATATCATGAGTCTCTCTGGAAGACACCAATGCAGTTGCATTTTGATGTTGACATATTATGTCTGTTGATTTGTTGTGATATTTCAGTTATGTAACTATGTAAACAATCTGGTACAGTTGATATGTCATAATACCGAAATTTCCATATCCGGATTTTAGTGACAGCACATGATTTGAATTCCAAGATGGCAGCACCCGAGAAAATAATTTAAGAAAAATACACTTTTGCTCTATCTAGATGTGCTTTGTTATAAAATTACTAGTGATGATACTTCAGGTTTGCGCTGATATAATGAATGAAACAGAGAATTTTCTAGGTTTTGTTTGACTTGAAGCCTCTTTGTAGCTAATTCTGATAACTTGTTAAGTTTAAAAAGACAGATTCAAAATGTTTTTAAATGTTTTTTTTAAGGAAAACCCTGAGTTCCAGGAGAAAACCTTGTAATAAGATGAACTAGAAAAAAAAATAATTATTGAAAAGAATTTAAAAAAGTATAGAGACTAATATTATAGAACAGAAGAGAATAGAATAAAAAAGAATAGAAAAGAATACCATAGAAAATCCTTATATTATTTTTTTTTTACATTTTAAGTTTGTTAAAAGAAAACTTAAAATGCTCTTTTTATTGATTATCTATGGCTCATCCTGTAATTTAGCTATTGTTTTCCAACAGCTGAAAAAAATGGAGCGGAGATGTTTTTACTCCTTCTGCTTGGTTTCTTTTTGTTGTGGAACATATTCAAGAGTAGGAAACTTTTAACAGATTTCCGTGTTGAGGCGTTAATTTTGGCTGAACTGGTTTCTGCTATTTCTGAAACAGGCTCCTCTGTGATGATCTCTAAATCAGGACTTTCTGGTGCTATCAGGATCATTGGAAGATCCTTGGCCTCTTGGAAATTCTCAGACTGACAAACTTCTCTGATGATGCTATAATCTATGGCATCTTCAAACACCTCGTCTTCACTGTCTGAGTCCTCTTTTTCAGGGAACTGTGCATCACCATCTATGGCGTCTTCAAATACCTCAGAATCACAATTGGGGTTTTCATTGTCAACGATCTGGGCATCACCATCTATGGTATCTTCAAACACCTCATCTTCACAGTCTGAGTCCTCTTTTTCGGTGAATTGTGCATCACAATTTATGGTATCTTCAAACACCTCATCTTCACAGTCTGAGTCCTCTTGTTTGACAAACTGTGAATCACAATCTGGGTTTTCTTTCACCATCTGTGAATCATGATCTGGGCTCTCTTTGATAACATTAGAGCGACCGAAGAACAAAAAAGCGAGCGGATTTTCAGCGTAGTTCTCTGTGGATACACAATCATTTGTTTCACCTGTTTCTGATGATTTCATACCCATTCCACCTTGAGAGTTCTCAGATGCTGCTACGATCTCTGGTTTTAAAACAGATTCTTCTTTGACAATCACAGACTGAGAAGCTGTGGCTTCATTGTCAGTATCAGAATCACTGTCTTCAGAAGAAGAGCCAAGCTGTCCCAAACAATCATTTATTTTTTCCTCAGCTGCTGCGAGTTTCTGTTTTTCTGTTTCTAAGACCCCTGACAGTTGTTGAATGACAGATCTTGCAGACTTTAGCTGCATACAGAGATTTCTTATTTTGACTTTGTCCTCTATCTGCCTGAGAATCAGTTTCTCATTCTCCTTTGTAAGACAGTCCAGCACCTCCCATTGTTCTGCTGCAGTCTGTTGTTGGTCTTGCAGGTTGGGATCATATTTTTCACTTTCTCTCTCTCCCAATATTCTCTTTTCCCTCTCCTGGCGAAGGAGAATGATACTTGCGTCCAGCTTTGATCTAAGGCTTTGATTTTCCTTAAGAAGTTGGTTTATTTCATTAAACAAACTTGATGTTTCTGGGTTGGGCATGATGACTGGATTAGACTGAACCCCCTGAGCATTATCTGCAACACCCTGCTCTCTGCCTGTTTTATACATTTTCCGGAAACTTTGAGAGGTTGAGGGTATTTCTTCATATAACTCCGTAAGATTAGAGGCAGAATGGTGTTTTATGAGCTTAAAAAGAAATTTAGCCATCTTTTCAAATCCTCTTGTTTCTTGTCAAAATGTTTTCTTTTGTATCCTTTTCTAGCTGTTTAAAGACCAGGATATGTTTCTCTACAAATAATTATGTAAGAGTTTTGGGTGTATCTAAAAACAGACTTTCGAAATACCTACTTTTGCTAAGAAACCTGTAAACGCGTCCACCTCTTCCAACGCCTGGAACGAACTGGTGCAAAGCTCAATATAGACGAAATGTGACGTCATCGTCGGGAACGTTCCATCCACGCCCATCCGTGGAACGAACGTTACAGGAAAGGTCAACGCCCACTTTTCAAAAACAAACGCAATTTCTTTCTTTCTTTCTTTCTTTCTTTCTTTCTTTCTTTCTTTCTTTCTTTCTTTCTTTCTTTCTTTCTTTCTTTCTTTCTTTCTTTCTTTCTTTCTTTCTTTCTTTCTTTCTTTCTTTCTTTCTTCTTGTTTAATGGCGGTTGACAAGCAACTTATTGGTGTGCATTACCGCCACCTACTGGTAAGGAGTGTGGATCAGGACGCAACTTAAACGCAATTTCTATTTAATGTTGGTTATTTATCTGAATATGCGAGGTATTTTAAAGTTTTTGAACCTGGTCTCACCTAATATTATAACTCCACTATTAACTATTTCTATATTACTCTTTTTCTAACAACTCTGATCAACTGCTATGAAGAAAAGCAGAAGGAAGCGTAATATGTTTTTTGATCACTAGAGGCCAGAAAAGTATTACATTCTGACCTTAATTAGATTTCATGTGTATAGAAAAGTAAGAGACATAAAAGAAAATAAATCAGTATTTTAAGCTCATTAGTCAAAGGAAATGATCGTTTGATATTTACTGTTTTTTCACCAGATATTAAACTTTATTGGATACATTTTTTTCTTCAAAAAAAATTAAAACAAAGAGAGGAGAAATTCTAATTGATCCAAGTTATATCAAATAGTCATAGGAAGGAGTAAAGTTATTTGAGAAGGGGAGAGGGAAATCTGGTTGTCTCGTCTGAAACTGTTGCCCCTGTGTCCCTGTCCCGGATTAAGTGCTTACTATATAACTTTGGAACAAAAACCTGCCCAAGATTCACTTCAAAGTTGAGAATTCTCCCATTCTGAGAAATAAAAATCAGAATTTTATGGTGTTTGAATAATAACATGGTAGAGTCTTTGCTTTCTGAGCTTGAGGTAAGATTAAATATTCTTTATATGTATGGAAGCCTTATAATTTATTTTACCAGGACTTTAGCTATGCTGCTAAAATAAAAGTTCTTAGTTCTGTCTTTTGAAGCCTGAAACAAAGTTACCTTTAACTCTATTGATTGAGACTCTATGAACATACTGACACTACAGCAAATACAATATTGGAATTAAAGACTATATAATGTCATGTTTATTATTATTCTTCTCACTGTAGTTGTGAATATACAACATGTAGGCCTAAGAATGGAGACATACAGTACTAATTCTGAATTGGTTAGAAATAAACACACACAAAAGCATTTGGTTTTTGAGTCAATCAGATACATTTGGTGATATTCCCTGTAAGAACAGCACAGATAGTACACAGAACAACCTGTCTCCACACGGCTGCTAATGAGTGTGATTAGATCATTTAAGACAAGTTACAGCTACAGATGAAGAACCAGGTGTCAAATAACATTGCACATCAACAGAAACATAAGACATGGAGACTGTCACATAATATACACTGTACAACATCTGTTTGGCACAAGAAAGCAAACATTTTGATTATACTGCTGCAATGGAAACAGCACAAACAAATACATTTATAGAGAACTGAAGATCTGATTTGATCAATGTTTTTGCACCAAGCTTTCACTTTGTATTTTCCAATGATTACAGTATGAGTTTTACAGTATTTTGCTGTCTAAATGTATTATTATTGTTTGCTACAAATTACAGCATTTTACTCAAGCTGAGATGGAGATCTGCAGATAAATCATCACACGTAGATATCTGAACCCATTTCATCTCTGTAGCACATAGAAAGACCTTGAAGCATCACAGTTAGTCAGGTTTTTACAACTACCCAGAGAATTGCAGCAGTAACTAGCTTTTAAAACAGAAAAATATATCCTGAAAGCCTTTTCAGAGTCTAAAAGTTTCAGCTATAATATATGTAACATGTTCCCTAAATATATATTGCCACTATGCAGTTTCTGAAGTGGCAGATCACAGTGTGGAACTGATGGATGGCATGTAGCAGCCAGAGGTCGGTAGGTACTAGTTTCATTTAATTGAGTAACTTTAAAGAAAAGTATTTTTACGAGTGTTAGGAATCCAGTTTGTGTGGGTTGGGTTTTTGTTTGTTTTCCCTCCACCACCAGGTGGCGCCTGGTTCTCGTTGGCCTTCTCACACACCTGCGGATGGTTGCCTCATTACCGGAGGACTCTTAAGCTGCTGACTGCCACTACCTCGACGCAAGAGTGTTTGCCAGTTTAGCGTACTCTAGCCTAGCTGAGTTTTGCGGAGTCAAACTGAGTTTATTGTCACCTGAGTCTTAACTTGTTGTTTTTTTTGTCTTTGCCTCTTGGCAGGAAGTCATCCTGCAAACTGGATGTTTTAGACCTTCTCCCCCTGGAAGGATTGTCTGAGCGTCAAACTGAGCTGAGGATTCAAACAGGTGGTTTGGATCAACTTTTCCCCAAGGATTGTTTGGGCTTCACACTGAGCAGGGGATTCATCTCCACAAGAAACTGTTCAAGTACCATAGGAAATCTAAGTGGCAGTCAGCTCCTCCGTTCCTCAAGGAAACACCTCAACCTGGGTAAACCCTGTCCACCCTCCAACGAGCAAGTCAATTACTGGAACAAACCACACCGACTGGATTCAAAGAAAGACACCTTTTCTGGAAACCTGAGTCCTGTAGCCTTTATTCCCTTTTATAAAACGAAACACAAATTTCCCTCTGAGCCTGAACTAACCGCAGGATCTTCCCCTTCACTTTTCACTCCTGGTTCGCCAGTGTTCAGAGCAGCACTGGACCCTTCTCTACCAGTTTAAAATAAACCTGTTAAACCTTTCCCTGGTCTCTCTGTTTGGTTTTCTGTATGTGGGTCAGATCTTTGGATAAAATCATGACGAGTAGTTTTGCAGCATTCCACTTTTTACTTTTACTTGAGTACATTTTCTGTCTACTCCATCGTTTTCAAGTAACTTCACTTTGTGAAAACAAGCTTGTTTTGAACGAATATGCAACATTGAGAGACACACTTTCATCTTTTTTGTAATCAAGGCTCATTGGTTAAATGTTATTTTCCATCTGCTGAGTTTGCCTAATCATTTGGAAGCTGAATGATAATACAGTATATTTTAATTTAACATATTCTTACATAGTGTAGCTACTGATTTTGTAAGTTAAATAACTCAAAAAATATTGAATTAGTTGTTATGATCATGGGTAGTCAGAATATCAGCTACTCAGTACTTGAGTAGCCTGTTTACCAAATACATATCTTTAAAGGCTACTTATTATTTTTAATTAGGTAAAATTATGATGAAGTAGTGCTACTTGACTTAAGTCCCATTTGTGGGTACTCTACCCACCTCTGGTAGCAGCTTAGTGTCTTTGATTACATAGACATATGCTCAGGCAATACATAGGAGATATCATCCCAGGGGTGGCGATACAGTCCCTGCTTCAGCCTCTTCTGATCGAGGTAGTGTCCTGTAGGAAAGATGAACAAAATGAAGTCATCAAGCTTGAAAGCTTTCTTTGTATTCATGTTAGACTCAGTCTGAATGCAGCAAATGGGTAATCACTCTAGCCAAGCAGAGTGTGTCAGCATGATAAAAGGTGTCTGAATACTGCTTGCGTAAAGAAGAGAGGTAGGAAAAGGAATCTGTATCCTTTCCTATCATAGTTTCTTTAGCATAGGTAACCCACAATATTACAATATCCAGATATAATGAATCCTACAATCCTCTATGTGACATGACATATAAGTATAAACCGCCTTAAAGAACTGAACAATACATTATTGCTTCATCTGTATATGATCCATGCAGATATACTCATCTTTATATGTGTATTGGTTTGTGTAATGTGGAGCATCAGCCCTTTGCTACATTTGTGTTTTTTTAAGTTATTTTTGGAAGTCTTAACTGTAATATAGATACTATAAAACACGCATTTAATGCTAAAACATCTGGTTTAATTCTGTAAAAAAATCTTGAAGGAACCTTTTGCTATCTAAATATTAATCCATTAATCAAAAATCTAATCAACAGATTAATGGATTAGGGAAATAGTCGCTGGCTGTAAGCCTAGTTTGAGCTAAAGGCTGTCCAGAGACGATACAGCATTGCTTTCCTACCCACCGTAACATTCTTACTGTTTTCCTCAAAAGGTAAAGGAACAGGAGCCAGAGGCTACAATTTGCTGTATTGCAAATTAGCTTCCTACATTCACACCGAACACGGTTTGAGCAGCAAAGAAGTGTCTGCCGCTTTGCTGCCTGTGCATATTAAGGTCAGACACTCCTCAAGGACATTGAGGCGTGTCAAATAAGGTTTGTACAGATGCATCTGATGCTTGTTCTGCTCTTGTGTTCAATGGCTGATTGGCTTTGTTAGGCTATATTTTCTGTGATAAGTGGGTAAAATGTGGTTTTAATGTTTTTTAAAGTGAGAAAGTACACCTCAAAACATCATATGTGCAGTCAGTTCATCCAGATTGTGATCCTGCCTTAAAATGTTATTTTCCTGTTGGAGCTACGTACATAGACCCCTACCTACCGGCTAGCTTTAAAGCTGCAGTCTGTAACATTGAGAAGAGAGCAGACTTCGACTGAAAATTTGAAGAAAAACAGGTTTCACGCCACTCCCCCACCCTCTCTGCTTCACTCATGCCACACCTCCAAGCTCAATCCCTCTCACAGCATCTGCGCGGCTACCGCATGCGACCAGAAGGGGGGGGGGGATTTCAGCGCGTGTGAGCTGTGATTGACACTCCATCAGACGCTCCTCTGGCTGTGATTGGTTGTTTTGTCTCGTCCCGAATTATTCTTTCCAGATTGAAATACAGGCAGTATGCGGGACCAATTGAAGCAGTTTTTTTCACAGGTTACATATCACATGTACTGCTGTCTGGGCATAGGGACAGTTTTAGCCAATATGACAAAAAAGTGATTTTTAAAAACTTACAGACTTCAGCTTTAACTGGGAAACCCCAGCAGCAGCTCCCTAAAACTGGCTGCCTCTTGGGGATTTTCCACTACTATTCGTGGTGGCTGGAAGCGGATGTTAAAGCTTTTTCAGGTATCTGGTACAGACTCCAAGCACCAGAATAATAAAAGTAAACATTTTGCTTACAGGTTTCTGCATTTTAAGTTAATTCAGTGAGTGATCATAGCATCACTCACTTTTCTTTCTACATGAAAACAAAATTCTCCTTTCCTTTAATTGAAACCTCAAATTTTACCCCATTTATATATACATAGGCCTATTCTTGTTTTTGTTTGATGGCGTTATGCTGACAGCTCTGCATTAGCAATGCTGTGTCCATCTACCTGCCAGCTCCTAGATCAGCTTCTTTGATTGGTTGATGTGAGGCATCAAGCAGCAAATGTTCAGATTTTCCACCTCCAGCATCAGCCGCTGGTGAAGCGCGCCACACGGATCAGATGCTCATGAGACACTACTTCAAAATGTTCTGCTGCTGCTGCTCGAGATGTCCTGCAAGACCTTTGATGCCCTTTGATGCGTGTCCACCATTAACTTTGCATGTAAACCGGCTGCTTCTTCTGTTCAAATCCCGTTTAGTGTGAACGTATCATAACAACTTCCAAGTCTCCTGAATCTCCAAAAACTACTGAAATTTCAACATGACTGGCCAACCTGCTTTGGGTCAAACTTTAACCGATTAAGCTATAGCGGTAAAAGATGCAACCAGAAGCAACAGAAACAACTCACCAATGAATCCCATGCTGCGTCCCAAGACAAAGATGCCATTAAGGGCACCAATTTCAACAAATTCATCAGCTTCATCTCTGTGGGGTAAATAGGGAAAATATAAAATATATTACATGACTTTGAGAATATTTAAGATTTTTTTATTACGTACAATTGCCTTATTATATGACTTTACTGTGTATTTGCTAAGTTTTCTTTCTTACCTCGTAAATCCTCCACAAGTTCTGAGCAAGTCCACAAAGGCCACACCAATGAAACCATCCACATTCAAGATCAGGTTGGGCTTCTAGTCAACACAGGGAAAACAAGACCTTAGGTACTGTAACGGATAAGTTATGATAATGAGTTAAAACAAATATTTGAAATCCTTACTTTGGAGGTGGTTATCTTCTCCACTTCTAAAGCATAATCCAGTAGTTGTGAGGAAGGAAAGTTCTGCTTCACAAAGTCTTTTAAGATCTGGACCCTCATGTCAGGATTGTTTATCTACAGAAGTAAATCCATGTTTTTAAAAACTGAAAAATAATCAACAGACTTCCCCTTTTTTATTTTTGTTTCATGGGAATCTACATGCATGTTCTTAAAATGAATAAATGTTACTCACAGACTTAACTCTGTGACCAATGCCCATGATCAGCTTTCCATCCTTCTTCATCTTGTTGACGAACTCCATGGGCAGCATACCGCTATCAAATGCATGGCTGAACTGCTTTGCAGCAGCGTCCAGGGCTCCTCCAAATCTGTCCCCCTGAAGAAACAACAAAGGATATTAGAAGTTTCCTCATGCTTTAAGGTGTTCCTAGAAGTGTAATTCTGAAAATAAAACGAAATTCAAAATGTCACACAATGGTGAGGAGGCCAGAGGTGAGGCTGGAGATTAAATCTTTGCCAGCTCGTGCACAGACAATAGTGTTGTGTGCACCCGAAACAGCTGGGCCATGATCCGCCGTGACCATCAGGCACATCTCAATAAATTGGCAGGCGTACTTCGGGAGTCTGTGCATAAAGAGAGGAAATCATATAAATAAACCTATATATTGTTAAGGAATACTTAAGGTTTGCTTAACCCTAAACATAGGTGGATATGTCTGACCTCCGCTGAAACCAAAGCAGCCCCAGAGTTCCTCCCAGGCCAATTTCTGACCTAAAGACCTCAGTGATAGAGAATAGAGAAGCTCCTGGCCTCTTTCATCACAAATACCAGAGATGGCAAAAGTACTCACTTTCCGTACTTGAGTAAAAGTACAGATACTTGTGTTAAAAAATACTCTGGTAAAAGTGGAAGTACTGATTAAACTTCTTTACTCAAGTAAAAGTAACAAAGTACAGGCTTGTAAATTTACTTAAAGTATAAAAGTAAAAGTAGAAACCACTTTTTTCATGCCGTTGCCTCCATTTTAAATGGATGTCTGCCAATAGGACTAGATCTCCGTTGTGTTCATTTTCAATCATCTCGTCATCCATGCTACTATGCTAACGCCACCGCCACCAAGCTGCAATGATTTGCCGCCAATGAATACCGCCAAATCTGTCGATTCATCTTGTAGTGGTGCGTCAAATGCAACGTAGATTCCCATCCAATTAGATTGAATTTGGTATTGATGACGTGAAAAATAATAACGGTAACTCCATTGAAATGATTCAAAACTAAAGTAACGAGACAATTTTTAAAAATGTAAGGAGTAGAAAGTACAGATATTTGTGTAAAAATGTAAGGAGTAGAAGTAAAAAGTCCCCATAAAAATAAGTAGTAAAGTAAAGTAAAAATATCAGAAAAATCTACTTGAGTACAGTAATGAAGTATTTGTACTTCGTTACTTCCCATCTCTGACAAATACTAGTCATAAAGGAAGCTGGTTTGCTGTTAGGTTTAAACACCAAACATTTTATGCAGTAACCTGTACAAAGGAAAACACAGAGAATTTTAGTATGATTCACTTGCAAGGGAGAGTGATCAGAGACTGTTCAGTTACAATTCTCCAAAACACTCTGAAACAGCTCTGCCCCCACCATGCATTTTATTAAGGAAAACGCCCTGGCTACAATGTGGTTCCGACTGCTAAGGGGAGGGGGAAGAGTAAAGCCAGTCAGAACCAGAAGTGAGGGAGTGAAACCCAGTCAGTACCAGAAGTCTGCATCACATCATACAGTATCATGAGATAAGAGCTTTCACTCCTTTCTCTGGTGTACGTGCAGTTCCCCGTGTTCTTCTCCTTGAACTGGCTGCTGACCTTGAGCAGCTAGTTCTCACTCCTTCTGCACAGCTTCTGCACAGACTTAAGACATTAGTACAGAACAAACAAGTAAATACTTCAACACTCTTTATGATATAAGTGAAATAAGGATAACAAAATGTGTGAGCATAATAATATGATCTCAGTGTGTAAGCATAATAATATGATTAAAGTAATATGGTTAAAAGTAGAATAACTTGTACAATTAATCCAACATTTCCCCCCTGTTTATTCACTTTAAGCTATTTATTTTATCATTCAGTAGTCACTTCTTTTCAGATTTTCAACTATGAAATCACGTTTTAGCTGTAAAGGGTACACTCAGAGGTACTTTAAGCTGGTGGGTTACTGTTAATGTCATTAGAATTAGTCAGGAAAATGCAAAGAGATTTCATCCTCTGCGCTGTCTTCATCATCAGATGGGCATTTTTCAGTGGGCATGAGGGCATACATTTCTGCTTTCATGGGTTGTATTGCTGTGGTAATTAGTCTATTTAATAGTGTTCTAATACATGGAATACAACAACATCCACATAAGGTCAAGATGGCGGCAAATACAGCTATAGACATTAAAATAGAAAGCACCAATTGTTTGTATTTACCAAAAATGTCTCCAAATCCATCCCACATTTTTGTGTCAACTCCAGAATGGTCTTTCATTTTGCTGTTAAGAGAGCGAAGGCCTTCAAGGGCCTTTGTGAGGCTGCCATCTGCAGCGGTGTTGTTGGGAATAAAGGTGCAACACTGATCTCCAAAAATAGAGCACACACCACCTTTTTCAGCTAACAACATGTCAACAGCAATACGGTTCTGGAAAGCCATCAGAGAGGTAGCTGACAATTGTTCATGGACGGCGGAGAAGCCTTGTTCTGTTTTATTTCCCAATCTCTGGACGTTATAATGGATGTAGTTGATTCGGTCTACATTTTTATTTAGAGTACACCACCAGCATAAGAAAGATTCAAATCCTGCAGAAACTTGATTGCTAGTTTATACTCATCAGGAACACCTCTGGGTACACCAATGCTATCAATATAAGTAGGGTCATCTCCACTCCATGCATTTTCAGATGCCCTCCTCCTTCTAGTATGCTCTGTGTGAGGTAAAATGCTGTTTGCAGTTGTCAACAATTCATCAGTTGTGAGTGATGTAACAGAAACAGGTAAAATCAAAGTGACAGCAGCACATAATCCAGTGGTGTTATCTGGAAGTTTGTCAAACAATTTGTCATCTCCACACCACCACCAGATGTCGCTGCGGGATTGAGGTTTAAAAAAGGTGGATACCAGTAAAATACTTGCACATTGTGTTTCATTTAGTGTGCCTAGTTTCGGGCCCACTCCGGTCCTTTTTACACAGGTGAAATTTGCCACAGCTACTTTTTTCAAAAAGATTGGTTTCTTTTTCTCAGCTGTGGTCAGGGGATAGATGTTATCCCAATAGGTGCAATTATCAGATGGGACCGTATAATTCATTATATTTAGAAGACATTGAGGAGTTATGGTAGCAGGAACCACACGTAACAGTGGTCTGGCTCCCATACACACAAGACAATCATTAGACACTGTTTTAGCTGCTTGTTCTGCCAGTAAAAGCCAGTTGTTTGTTTGCCCAGAGATTCCAGTGATGGCTTGAAACAATTCATCTGTTTTAAGCGGACCATTAATATTTTGAATTTTTATCTGTTCACCTTGGGCAGAAGTAAGAATCCCTTGTATCTCATCTCCTTCTTGTGTAATATTTACGGGGCACAAATACAAAGGCCAACATGGATCAGTTCCACTAGACCGTGCACATAGAAATGAGGAAGAACAGCCTTCCTTCTCAAGGGGTTCTGCTGTGGAGTTTATTGTCATAGTGAAAACTTTGGAAGCATGGTTAACAGTGAACCCTGATATTCTACTCATCCATTTCTTAGCTAAAGGTGTCCATCCATATGATCCCTTTTTCCACTGTCCAGTGGTTCTAAATACGTCTCCCCAACCATTATGAGTTCTTTGAACTACGCGAGGAAATAGGTAGAAATCATAACCGTGCCAATTTCCGGGGTCATGTTTAAATCTTTGCGAGAATGTTTGAAAAGGAATAGTCACCAAACTGATTACTCTAGTAGAATTATAGCAGAGATAGACGTCCCTTTTACAAATAGCTGGATCTTGAGGGCAACAAGAATCCTTGCTCTGAGCGAGAGCTAAAAACAAAACTAATATGAATAAGTAAAAAAAAAAGAGAACCCAAAGTAACAACAGAAAATTGGACCTGGCAGGCCGGCCAAACAGAACAAAACGGTACAGCAGGGGGCCAACCCTATACAGGGCCGTCGAAGCCCCTACTGGTACCGGACTAAAGACCCAAAAAATATCCTAAGAAAAGAAAAATCGAAAACAGGACTACCGGTCCCGCCAGGCCAAAACTCAAGAAAAAAGTAAGAAAAAACGGTTAACAAAAATACCGCATGGCAAGCTGGATCGTCCGCTGCAGGCCGCAGCAGAAAGACAAGTGCGCACCGCGCACGCTGGAACCAAAAGGAACAGGTGGAAAGCGGCGTCCCAAACGAGGTAGGAAAAAGGAACGCCTTAACGTGCTGAAAGCCAGCCTATTTATAGGCGGACGACAGCACCACAAATTAACATAATTAACTCGCCAAAAGAATCCCAAAATATACTAACAAAAGATCCTTCAACTAAAGTCTATAAGAAAACAAAGAAAAGAAATAGACAAAAATCATAATGTGCCCGAAGCACATAACAACGATGGACTTCCTCTGGAGGTCGGTGAAGGAGACCAAATGTGTATTCTATAACAGGTACCACAGTAGAATTACTAGAGTGCTAAGCAGTACGGTCAGGTTCCAGAGAATAATTAAGAAAGTGATTTTACTTATTACTCATCTGATCTAACTATCACTTTCTTGCAATCCGTTTAGAAAACAAATTTATTATAACCAAACAGAATTGAAAGGATAAATAGGTTTAGGGAAAGCACCTTTTTTAGGTCTTAAATTTCCTTGAAGATTATGTTTAGCACATATTAGACATGCTTTACAAAAGTTTTTTGCATAAAATATAAATCCATATGCTGTATAATGATGCTCAATGCTCAATCAATCCTACAATCCCCCCGTTTGAGACATGAGTAAAATCATGACTCAATATAGCAGCTCATTCAAAGAATTTTTTTTTATTTGGAAGGATTGGTTTATGTTCTGGTCACATATAGGTGCCATCATGGATTTTAAGATAGTTTGGCTGATTAACATGTTTGTTTCGTTGAATGTCATCCCCACTTCACATGTTTTTAATAAGAAATGTTATGTTTAATACAATGTTACGATGAAATTAGGACAGCAACTAACAATTATTTCGTAAATCGATCAGTCTATCGTTAATTCTTTCGATTAATTGGTTAGCCAAAAGTTCTGTAAAGAAGATTACTAATGACATTAAACCAGGTGAAACCAAAACATCTCCTCCTGAAGAGCTCCGGACGGAAAGTATTGACAGACAAAAACATTATATAATCGTATTTGCAAAATGTTTATAAATTTATTTTACAGTTTTGGTATGATTACTGATCCAAGTGGGTTACTCTGTCGGGGAAAGCCAGATTTGACATGTATATTATGTGTTAGAGTCTCTATACTCCATTTAATGATGAATCACTAAAAAATTTTTACGAATATGCAAATAAACAATGAATATGATTCATGTTTTCAGCCACAGATAAAATACATGAGATGGGCAACACAGAGTAACTACAGCCCAGATGTTCAACTTTCATAGTGAAGTTATTATTTTTAATGAAGCATAGTAGGTAAAAATATAAGAGTGGGGTTTAACTCTGCACGATTCTATATATTCAGAAGAAAGTACTGTATTTACCGTCTGTCTCAGTTGTTCAAATAAAATCATTTACAAAGTGGAAAACAGTCCTAATTCCACATTCATCAGAGCCGGTGATACTCCAACATTGATAAACAGCATCTAGTTAGTGTAGTGCTTAAAAATGTTTATTAATGTAACAAAATGCTCCTTTTCTCTTTAAACAATGAATTCCTCTCATCAGTACTGATGCTCATATCAAGCATAAAAAAAGAAAGGCATGCATAATGCATAGTACTAATGACACCAGACCAATAGTGTCCCTACCAAAGTTCAAATCAAACCTACGCCCTCGGGTGCCATCCTTCATTGCAGCGCCCCTTTTTTTTTTTTTTTTTTTTTATTTATTATTTATCCAATTAAGTTTTTTATAGTCTTTATCAGGACCTGGAGAGTCTTTGTGCCACATGGTAATATGTAGGTCATTCGGGTCCATGGACTGCTGTACAATTTGAACAGACTGTCTTCCCTCCTGAAGCAGCGCTTCTCCGATGTTTAAAGGAGGTTTGTTGGGAAAGTCCAGAGTATAATGGTAATGTGGGATGCCCAGCCTCTATCTAAACAAAGCATAGAGCATCCCTGCCTAAGAGGTTAACTGGACATTCAGGTAAAGTCAGTACAGACAGCCGGCAGGAGAGTCCTTCAGGGTCTCTCAACCACACAAGCTGGATCTCCTGCACAGCCTTTAAATGACCTTGAGCTGATCGGACTATGACAGTCTCAGGTCCTTGGAATTTGTTGTTTAACAGTTGTTCTGCATGCACCACTGTCACACAGGAAAACTGTTGGGGTGCTATTCACATGTATAGTTAATACAACTAATCCTTATTTGTGCATATTAATTATGTTTTTGATAAAAATGCTTTGGCTAAAATGCCATCAGAAGGCTGATAAATAGAGAGGAAAAAGGAACAAGAACAGAGGGACAGAACCTAGAACAAATAATGGATGTCTATTCTATTAACATTTCTCTATCTGTAGAATGGGACTGTTTTATAGGTTTTCTTGTCAGGGGGGGGGGGCCCCTGCCCATCCATGCCCAGGGCCCCAAATTTCCTAAATCCGCCCCTGCCTATAGACCATCATGACAGGAAAAAATGGATTTTCAGCTGGCCCCTGACCCGCCAAAGGATTTGGCAGCTCAATTAAAGGAAACACTCAATTTCAGGTTTGGGTTCAGGGGCTGGCTGTGGGGAGATTAAGCCTCCCCCCATATCTTTTGACCAAGCCCCCACAGGTCCCCCAGAATGGGTAACCCTTGTGGAGGTGCAGGGCATAGGAGAATAAGCCGGTGGATTCTCAACTTTAGGAGAAATCATCTTTACTATGGGTATGTGCAAGGGTATGGGTTCTTTTATTGTGGTTCTGCAGGCTTCTGTATCACACAAAATTTACAGGAGTGCCCTGGACCATCAGAACTTTTTCTGGTCTATATTTTTCTTTTAAAAAACAAATCTTCTAGGTTTAAGACATCCATATTTTCACCCTCTATCTCTCTAATAGAAAATGGTTGCTCATCTAGTCATTCTGAGCTTCCTGCATTGTGGTTTACTTTGACAGTGTCTAGCTATGTGGCCTTTTTTTTTCCACATGACCAACACGCTCTGGAATTATCAGTTGAGCGTGATCCAAAATCTCTTCCCCTTACACGGCCTCGGCCCCTACCTCCGGACTGCTGATAAAACACAGTGTCCTCTTCCTCCTGATAAAACACAGTGGATTCTTTATTGTGATTCTTTTTACCTTTTATGACTTTCTCTGCATGCAGGGCGTGATTTATATACTTTTGGAGTGTTGCACCACTCATCTCTATGTGGTGAATTATACATTCTTCCACATCCTTCTTTGGAGAGGGAATTCCTTCTACTGCTTTTCTAACATCTTCCTGTGTCCAGGTTCTGTATACCATTACTGTGGCTGGTTGTTGGGCATTCCCCTCAACCTGGCCTGCTAAGGGGTTTGGTAATTCTATTAAAGGAAGCGTGAGGACTGCTCCTTCACCTTCCAGGTTCACAGGCATCACTCGGGGTGCCCGTGGAGACAGAATGTCATTAAATGTTGTCACTAAAGTTTTTGACCAATCCCCTACAGAACCTTTGGACCTAGTAATATATCCCTGGGAGGTATCAGCTTGTGGAGAAGCTACTTGAGGAGGGGCTATTTTCAATGGTGCTTCTACATGTTGTGGGGGAGTATATCGTGGAGGATCCCCCGTGGGTGAGAGAGCTGAGGGATCGGCTGCAGCGGCAGCACCTCCCATTGGTGGGAGATTATGTATTTGATGTATCAGGTTAGAATAGGGCCCTGCGTACTCATCATCCTCTTTTCTATGAAACATAACTGATCTTTCCTTTTCCTTTTTTCTTTCACTTTCCCTTTCTTCCTCTTCTTTCTCTTTCCTTTGTCTCTCCCCCCTCTCTCTTTTAGCTCTGCGCTCTCCCTCTTCTCTCTGTCCTGCCAATTTCATCCAGACCATGGTTTGCATGTAACCTTCTTTTGCCATCAAAGTGTCTTTATTTTTGCTCTTTGTTTTTATTTTTTGTTGCAAATCTTTTATGTTTGCGGTGCTCAATTTGCCATTAAAACCGTAGTTTTTTATCCAGTAATTTTCGACTGCTTTCCAATCTTTGCACTGGAGTTTCTCTAATAACTTCTGTTTTTCTTTACTTTGCCCTTTTCCCATTTTGAACTAAATTTGGGCCCAGTGGGTTTTTAACACCTGTCGTGTTCTAAACACTGGGGCTTCAGACAAGATGGTGATCAACTACTTTTTGTGGTAAAACTCACTTCAACCTTTACAGGTGGAGTTTTCTTGTCTACAAACATCCACAAAAGCTCACCATTTAACCCTTGTCTTTTTGGTATGAAATACAGATATCTAGTGATATCAATATTTCCTTTCACACACACACTCACACACACACACTGCGCAGTTAACTTTTACCTTATTTTAAACACAGAGGACGCCGCTATCCTATGCAGAATTTAACTAGTTTACAACTCGGGGAACCTGCCCTTACAAACTAGGGGAGCCTGCCCTCCCGCGGACTTTAACTGTTTTAAAATTTCTGTTTTACCTGATAGAGTCTAGAATTGTCAGGGTTTTAGTACAAAAGGGGGACCTCGTTACCCCATGCGGAATTTAACTATTTAAGATAGAGGACACCGCCGTCCTTCACGAGGTTTAAACTGTTTGCAAAGGGGGATCTCGTGACCCCACGCTGAGAGGACTTCGCTGTCCTTCACTTCTATCAAAGGGGGATCTCGTGACCCCACGCTGAGAGGACTTCGCTGTCCTTCACTTCTATCTTTTTTTTTTTTTATATTATTATATTTTTATAAATTTTTATATTTTTATATATTTTTCTTCCAATAACTCACTCACTCCTTATTAAAAGAAAAACTACTCACAATTCTCTGCGTCCTCGAAATGCTTCAACCGTCGGACCCCAGCTTGTAAGGGAGAGACCAGTCCCGTAAAGGGTCTCTTTGCTGCGGCCGCAGGCTTTATCTGGGTCTCACATACCTGCTGGGGGTCGTCGGGTATCTTGCAATCCGGCTCGAAGGACCAATTAATGTTAGGTTTAAACACCAAACATTTTATGCAGTAACCTGTACAAAGGAAAACACAGAGAATTTTAGTATGATTCACTTGCAAGGGAGAGTGATCAGAGACTGTTCAGTTACAATTCTCCAAAACACTCTGAAACAGCTCTGCCCCCACCATGCATTTTATTAAGGAAAACGCCCTGGCTACAATGTGGTTCCGACTGCTAAGGGGAGGGGGAAGAGTAAAGCCAGTCAGAACCAGAAGTGAGGGAGTGAAACCCAGTCAGTACCAGAAGTCTGCATCACATCATACAGTATCATGAGATAAGAGCTTTCACTCCTTTCTCTGGTGTACGTGCAGTTCCCCGTGTTCTTCTCCTTGAACTGGCTGCTGACCTTGAGCAGCTAGTTCTCACTCCTTCTGCACAGCTTCTGCACAGACTTAAGACATTAGTACAGAACAAACAAGTAAATACTTCAACACTCTTTATGATATAAGTGAAATAAGGATAACAAAATGAGTGAATCATACTAAAATTCTCTGTGTTTTCCTTTGTACAGGTTACTGCATAAAATGTTTGGTGTTTAAACCTAACATTTGCGTATCAGACCCAGCTCCTGCAAAGAAGACAGAAAAACAAGCATTTTATCAGTCATAAGCTAATTCACCGTATCCAAAAAAAGTATGGAAAAAGTATTTCTGCCATACTCACTCGAGCCCAGGAATAATCCATTGGTACAGTAGGAGGAGGCACCTCTTCAGCTGGCTGGATTATTCCTTTGGAAACAAGGTCATCATACACAGACCTGCAGAAAGAGCACAAAACAACAGATTGAAGAATCACCAGTAAGCATATTCTGTCAGCTATTCAATCTATCTTGAAAAACTTTACTGGATTGTTTTAAACAAAAATCTATCTGGCACATACAGACAAGACTGAGTGTAGATTATTGTTTTTTGGTTTTTTTTTAGGGGGTTGCTGTTCATTTAATTTTGGAATGTCTCTGTGATATCATAAATGTGGTAAAAGTGAAGTAATATAAATATATTTTCTATATGTGCTGCATTTTCTTATAAGCCACTGGAACAAACAGCTGTGCACTCACTGGATGATCTCTCCCAGCTCATCAAAGCTTTTAGGAACGTAGGCACCAGCCTCTTTCAGAGCCTTGTTCTTGGCCACAGCTGTTTCAGAGGCTTGGTTGGCACAAGCTCCTGCATGGCCAAACTGTACCTGATAGAGAGAAACGTAACAGAAAATACAATTTAAGACACCTTCATTTTGTTAAATGTCACGACATCCAGAAGTATAATTTGACAGAAATTAAGTGAAGCATAAAATTTAGCCTCTTACCTCTGAGGTGAACATGGTAGCACAGGTACCAATGCACCAGCACACAACTGGCTTGGTAATTCTGCCCTGTTTAATAGCCTGGCAAATCTTATACTCCTCTGTCCCACCAATCTAAAGGAAGGTATGTTGGAAGAAATAAAAAAAAGACATAAGTCGGTTACTAGTATTAAAATATAAAAAGCTACACATTTAAAATCGATCTCAGTTCTCATTATGTTGTTTTTATCTTTAAACAATAACATTTTCTCCAGTTGCATAGAGTGACACCAAATTATCCCTTATCTTCTTATTCTTATATCTTATTCTTTATAGCATGAAACCTTGGCATGATTATACAGGTTTGTGAAAACTATGAAAGCATTATTCCTAGACAAGGGTTTTCTCATAATAAAACAAGCTCTCATCAAAGAGGGAAGCCATTTCTCACCTCCCCGAGTACAACGATCATCTTAACTCCTGGGGTGTCTTGGTAACGCAGCACATGGTCAGTAAACACAGAGCCTGGATATCTGGAGATAAGATCAGCAGCAGCTCAAACATACACACTTAAAATAATTCATATACACCGACTGGCAACTTTATTAGGTACATCAATAGATTATTTACACAAAGAGTGAAACATTGTATTTCTGTTATTTTTTAATTATGCACATCCTCCAGCTTTTTATTCTAAAAAATCTATAATATTAAAGCAGCAAATTATCAACTATTTTTTTAAAAGCCTGTTTAAAAGTTCCAAATGACGCTTCAGCTCATACAGTGACAATTGTGCTGTCATTGATTTACAGGCAGAATTTGCATTTGCTGAACCTCGTCCTTTAACTACTGATGGATATACAGGAATACAGTCATACAAGTATCAACTCCTCAACTCCTCTCCTTTATTTTATTTAAAAATTCAGTGTATTACATGAATGCATAAATACCTCATTTTATTTTAGTGTTAAGTTCTGTTTAAAGTAACAGATCATTAAAAATGTCTCTGGACCTTTACGGGTTCATGATTTTCTTTATTCGGACCCCGCTGATTTTTAATTGGTTACCGCTGGTTTAATGATGATAAACATTTATTTCACATCATGTGTGCCATCCAATGCAGATCAATGGCGCCATCCACATCTAATGAAAACTAGTGTAATTGGATGAGTCATATAACAAAAACACTCATTGGTTAGCTATTCGTCAAAGGAAATCATCAGGAGCAAGCAGCTGTTCTTCAAACTGCAAACTCAAATTGTCTATGCCATGCTACAATGTCGGATTCAGAAAAAGATCTTAAAATGTCTGAAAGGTCGGACACAGGCGAGAGCGTATCGGGAGATGGAGACGGAGCCTAACAAGACCTCCCTCATCCTTGGCCCTATCTCAAAGAATTTTTCCAAATAGTCGAAAAATATAGCTTTCAATTCATATAGTGGCATCTGGCTGGTTTTTTTAAAGGTTACTTTATACTTTTATATTTTAAGTAGTTTTTGAGCACATACTTTTCACTTTTACTTGAGTAAAGAGTTAATACTTCAACTTTTACCAGAGTGTTTTCAAAATGCAGTATCTATACTTCTACTTAAGTAACAAATGTGTGTATATTGAAATTCAGTGGCCCTTATAGACTAAGTAACATGGCAGGTGAAACATTTTTGCAATATATAATTAGGATGGACAATATAATGAAATGGAAAGTTGAACCTTTCTCTGAATGCCGAGGCTGGTCCCAGAATTGCGATATGCTCTAGCTCTGTATATGTTTGTTTTCACAATGCCCTACAGATTCCAACTGTTTATTTCTATCCAAATTATTATGTATTTTAATGATTTGCTATTTATCTTGCTTATTTGTCTGTAAACCACATGTGGTGTTTTGTTTGAGGTGGGTCAATAATTAAAAAAATTAGATCTCCAAAACAAACAGAAAAAACACATGGTGACAATAACATATCATGAGTCTCTCTGGAAGACACCAATGCAGTTGCATTTTGATGTTGACATATTATGTCTGTTGATTTGTTGTGATATTTCAGTTATGTAACTATGTAAACAATCTGGTACAGTTGATATGTCATAATACCGAAATTTCCATATCCGGATTTTAGTGACAGCACATGATTTGAATTCCAAGATGGCAGCACCCGAGAAAATAATTTAAGAAAAATACACTTTTGCTCTATCTAGATGTGCTTTGTTATAAAATTACTAGTGATGATACTTCAGGTTTGCGCTGATATAATGAATGAAACAGAGAATTTTCTAGGTTTTGTTTGACTTGAAGCCTCTTTGTAGCTAATTCTGATAACTTGTTAAGTTTAAAAAGACAGATTCAAAATGTTTTTAAATGTTTTTTTAAGGAAAACCCTGAGTTCCAGGAGAAAACCTTGTAATAAGATGAACTAGAAAAGAAAAATAATTATTGAAAAGAATTTAAAAAAAGTATAGAGACTAATATTATAGAACAGAAGAGAATAGAATAAAAAAGAATAGAAAAGAATACCATAGAAAATCCTTATATTATTTTTTTTTTTTACATTTTAAGTTTGTTAAAAGAAAACTTAAAATGCTCTTTTTATTGATTATCTATGGCTCATCCTGTAATTTAGCTATTGTTTTCCAACAGCTGAAAAAAATGGAGCGGAGATGTTTTTACTCCTTCTGCTTGGTTTCTTTTTGTTGTGGAACATATTCAAGAGTAGGAAACTTTTAACAGATTTCCGTGTTGAGGCGTTAATTTTGGCTGAACTGGTTTCTGCTATTTCTGAAACAGGCTCCTCTGTGATGATCTCTAAATCAGGACTTTCTGGTGCTATCAGGATCATTGGAAGATCCTTGGCCTCTTGGAAATTCTCAGACTAACAAACTTCTCTGATGATGCTATAATCTATGGCATCTTCAAACACCTCGTCTTCACTGTCTGAGTCCTCTTTTTCAGGGAACTGTGCATCACCATCTATGGCGTCTTCAAATACCTCAGAATCACAATTGGGGTTTTCATTGTCAAGGATCTGGGCATCACCATCTATGGTATCTTCAAACACCTCATCTTCACAGTCTGAGTCCTCTTTTTCGGTGAATTGTGCATCACAATTTATGGTATCTTCAAACACCTCATCTTCACAGTCTGAGTCCTCTTGTTTGACAAACTGTGAATCACAATCTGGGTTTTCTTTCACCATCTGTGAATCATGATCTGGGCTCTCTTTGATAACATTAGAGCGACCGAAGAACAAAAAAGCGAGCGGATTTTCAGCGTAGTTCTCCGTGGATACACAATCATTTGTTTCACCTGTTTCTGATGATTTCATACCCATTCCACCTTGAGAGTTCTCAGATGCTGCTACGATCTCTGGTTTTAAAACAGATTCCTCTTTGACAATCACAGACTGAGAAGCTGTGGCTTCATTGTCAGTATCAGAATCACTGTCTTCAGAAGAAGAGCCAAGCTGTCCCAAACAATCATTTATTTTTTCCTCAGCTGCTGCGAGTTTCTGTTTTTCTGTTTCTAAGACCCCTGACAGTTGTTGAATGACAGATCTTGCAGACTTTAGCTGCATACAGAGATTTCTTATTTTGACTTTGTCCTCTATCTGCCTGAGAATCAGTTTCTCATTCTCCTTTGTAAGACAGTCCAGCACCTCCCATTGTTCTGCTGCAGTCTGTTGTTGGTCTTGCATGTTGGGATCATATTTTTCACTTTCTCTCTCTCCCAATATTCTCTTTTCCCTCTCCTGGCGAAGGAGAATGATACTTGCGTCCAGCTTTGATCTAAGGCTTTGATTTTCCTTAAGAAGTTGGTTTATTTCATTAAACAAACTTGATGTTTCTGGGTTGGGCATGATGACTGGATTAGACTGAACCCCCTGAGCATTATCTGCAACACCCTGCTCTCTGCCTGTTTTATACATTTTCCCGAAACTTTGAGAGGTTGAGGGTATTTCTTCATATAACTCCGTAAGATTAGAGGCAGAATGGTGTTTTATGAGCTTAAAAAGAAATTTAGCCATCTTTTCAAATCCTCTTGTTTCTTGTCAAAATGGTTTCTTTTGTATCCTTTTCTAGCTGTTTAAAGACCAGGATATGTTTCTCTACAAATAATTATGTAAGAGTTTTGGGTGTATCTAAAAACAGACTTTCGAAATACCTACTTTTGCTAAGAAACCTGTAAACGCGTCCACCTCTTCCAACGCCTGGAGCGAACTGGTGCAAAGCTCAATATAGACGAAATGTGACGTCATCGTCGGGAACGTTCCATGCACGCCCATCCGTGGAACGAACGTTACAGAGAAAGGTCAACGCCCACTTTTCAAAAACAAACGCAATTTCTTTCTTTCTTTCTTTCTTTCTTTCTTTCTTTCTTTCTTTCTTTCTTTCTTTCTTTCTTTCTTTCTTACGAACGTTACAGAGAAAGGTCAACGCCCACTTTTCAAAAACAAACGCAATTAATTTCTTTCTTTCTTTCTTTCTTTCTTTCTTTCTTTCTTTCTTTCTTTCTTTCTTTCTTTCTTTCTTTCTTTCTTTCTTTCTTTCTTTCTTTCTTTCTTTCTTTCAACTTGTTTAATGGCGGTTGACAAGCAACTTATTGGTGTGCATTACCGCCACCTACTGGTAAGGAGTGTGGATCAGGACGCAACTCAAACGCAATTTCTATTTAATGTTGGTTATTTATCTAAATATGCGAGGTATTTTAAAGTTTTTGAACCTGGTCTCACCTAATATTATAACTCCACTATTAACTATATCTATATTACTCTTTTTCTAACAACTCTGATCAACTGCTATGAAGAAAAGCAGAAGGAAGCGTAATATGTTTTTTGATCACTAGAGGCCAGAAAAGTATTACATTCTGACCTTAATTAGATTTCATGTGTATAGAAAAGTAAGAGACATAAAAGAAAATAAATCAGTATTTTAAGCTCATTAGTCAAAGGAAATGATCGTTTGATATTTACTGTTTTTTCACCAGATATTAAACTTTATTGGATACATTTTTTTCCCCAAAAAAATTAAAACAAAGAGAGGAGAAATTCTAATTGATCCAAGTTATATCAAATAGTCATAGGAAGGAGTAAAGTTATTTGAGAAGGGGAGAGGGCAATCTGGTTGTCTCGTCTGAAACTGTTGCCCCTGTGTCCCTGTCCCGGATTGCTTATTATATAACTTTGGAACAAAAACCTGCCCAAGATTCACTTCAAAGTTGAGAATTCTCCCATTCTGAGAAATAAAAATCAGAATTTTATGGTGTTTGAATGATAACATGGTAGAGTCTTTGCTTTCTGAGCTTGAGGTAAGATTAAATATTCTTTATATGTATGGAAGCCTTATAATTTATTTTACCAGGACTTTAGCTATGCTGCTAAAATAAAAGTTCTTAGTTCTGTCTTTTGAAGCCTGAAACAAAGTTACCTTTAACTCTATTGATTGAGACTCTATGAACATACTGACACTACAGCAAATACAATATTGGAATTAAAGACTATATAATGTCATGTTTATTATTATTCTTCTCACTGTAGTTGTGAATATACAACATGTAGGCCTAAGAATGGAGACATACAGTACTAATTCTGAATTGGTTAGAAATAAACACACACAAAAGCATTTGGTTTTTGAGTCAATCAGATACATTTGGTGATATTCCCTGTAAGAACAGCACAGATAGTACACAGAACAACCTGTCTCCACACGGCTGCTAATGAGTGTGATTAGATCATTTAAGACAAGTTACAGCTACAGATGAAGAACCAGGTGTCAAATAACATTGCACATCAACAGAAACATAAGACATGGAGACTGTCACATAATATACACTGTACAACATCTGTTTGGCACAAGAAAGCAAACATTTTGATTATACTGCTGCAATGGAAACAGCACAAACAAATACATTTATAGAGAACTGAAGATCTGATTTGATCAATGTTTTTGCACCAAGCTTTCACTTTGTATTTTCCAATGATTACAGTATGAGTTTTACAGTATTTTGCTGTCTAAATGTATTATTATTGTTTGCAGACAAATTACAGCATTTTACTCAAGCTGAGATGGAGATCTGCAGATAAATCATCACACGTAGATATCTGAACCCATTTCATCTCTGTAGCACATAGAAAGACCTTGAAGCATCACAGTTAGTCAGGTTTTTACAACTACCCAGAGAATTGCAGCAGTAACTAGCTTTTAAAACAGAAAAATATATCCTGAAAGCCTTTTCAGAGTCTAAAAGTTTCAGCTATAATATATGTAACATGTTCCCTAAATATATATTGCCACTATGCAGTTTCTGAAGTGGCAGATCACAGTGTGGAACTGATGGATGGCATGTAGCAGCCAGAGGTCGGTAGGTACTAGTTTCATTTAATTGAGTAACTTTAAAGAAAAGTATTTTTACGAGTGTTAGGAATCCAGTTTGTGTGGGTTGGGTTTTTGTTTGTTTTCCCTCCACCACCAGGTGGCGCCTGGTTCTCGTTGGCCTTCTCACACACCTTGCGGCTGGTTGCCTCATTACCGGAGGACTCTTAAGCTGCTGACTGCCACTACCTCGACGCAAGAGTGTTTGCCAGTTTAGCGTACTCTAGCCTAGCTGAGTTTTGCGGAGTCAAACTGAGTTTATTGTCACCTGAGTCTTAACTTGTTGTTTTTTTTGTCTTTGCCTCTTGGCAGGAAGTCATCCTGCAAACTGGATGTTTTAGACCTTCTCCCCCTGGAAGGATTGTCTGAGCGTCAAACTGAGCTGAGGATTAAAACAGGTGGTTTGGATCAACTTTTCCCCAAGGATTGTTTGGGCTTCACACTGAGCAGGGGATTCATCTCCACAAGAAACTGTTCAAGTACCATAGGAAATCTAAGTGGCAGTCAGCTCCTCCGTTCCTCAAGGAAACACCTCAACCTGGGAAAACCCTGTCCGCCCTCCAACGAGCAAGTCAATTACTGGAACAAACCACACCGACTGGATTCAAAGAAAGACACCTTTTCTGGAAACGTGAGTCCTGTAGCCTTTATTCCCTTTTATAAAACGAAACACAAATTTCCCTCTGAGCCTGAACTAACCGCAGGATCTTCCCCTTCACTTTTCACTCCTGGTTCGCCAGTGTTCAGAGCAGCACTGGACCCTTCTCTACCAGTTTAAAATAAACCTGTTAAACCTTTCCCTGGTCTCTCTGTTTGGTTTTCTGTATGTGGGTCAGATCTTTGGATAAAATCATGACGAGTAGTTTTGCAGCATTCCACTTTTTACTTTTACTTGAGTACATTTTCTGTCTACTCCATCGTTTTCAAGTAACTTCACTTTGTGAAAACAAGCTTGTTTTGAACGAATATGCAACATTGAGAGACACACTTTCATCTTTTTTGTAATCAAGGCTCATTGGTTAAATGTTATTTTCCATCTGCTGAGTTTGCCTAATCATTTGGAAGCTGAATGATAATACAGTATATTTTAATTTAACATATTCTTACATAGTGTAGCTACTGATTTTGTAAGTTAAATAACTCAAAAAATATTGAATTAGTTGTTATGATCATGGGTAGTCAGAATATCAGCTACTCAGTACTTGAGTAGCCTGTTTACCAAATACATATCTTTAAAGGCTACTTATTATTTTTAATTAGGTAAAATTATGATGAAGTAGTGCTACTTGACTTAAGTCCCATTTGTGGGTACTCTACCCAACTCTGGTAGCAGCTTAGTGTCTTTGATTACATAGACATATGCTCAGGCAATACATAGGAGATATCATCCCAGGGGTGGCGATACAGACCCTGCTTCAGCCTCTTCTGATCGAGGTAGTGTCCTGTAGGAAAGATGAACAAAATGAAGTCATCAAGCTTTAAAGCTTTCTTTGTATTCATGTTAGACTCAGTCTGAATGCAGCAAATGGGTAATCTCTCTAGCCAAGCAGAGTGTGTCAGCATAAGAGGTGTCTGAATGCTGCTTGCGTAAAGAAGAGATGTAGGAAAAGGAATCTGTATCCTTTCCTATCATAGTTTCTTTAGTATAGGTAACCCACAATATTACAATATCCAGATATAATGAATCCTACAATCCTCTATGTGACATGACATATAAGTATAAACCGCCTTAAAGAATTGAACAATACATTATTGCTTCATCTGTATATGATCCATGCAGATATACTCCTCTTTATATGTGTATTGGTTTGTGTAATGTGGAGCTTCAGCCCTTTGCTACATTTGTGTTTTTTGAAGTTATTTTTGGAAGTCTTAACTGTAATATAGATACTATAAAACACGCATTTAATGCTAAAACATCTGGTTTAATTCTGTAAAAAAATCTTGAAGGAACCTTTTGCTATCTAAATATTAATCCATTAATCAAAAATCTAATCAACAGATTAATGGATTAGGGAAATAGTCGCTGGCTGTAAGCCTAGTTTGAGCTAAAGGCTGTCCAGAGACGATACAGCATTGCTTTCCTACCCACCGTAACGTTCTAACTGTTTTCCTCAAAAGGTAAAGGAACAGGAGCCAGAGGCTACAATTTGCTGTATTGCAAATTAGCTTCCTACATTCACACCGAACACGGTTTGAGCAGCAAAGAAGTGTCTGCCGCTTTGCTGCCTGTGCATATTAAGGTCAGACACTCCTCAAGGACATTGAGGCGTGTCAAATAAGGTTTGTACAGATGCATCTGATGCTTGTTCTGCTCTTGTGTTCAATGGCTGATTGGCTTTGTTAGGCTATATTTTCTGTGATAAGTGGGTAAAATGTGGTTTTAATGTTTTTTAAAGTGAGAAAGTACACCTCAAAACATCATCTGTGCAGTCAGTTCATCCAGATTGTGATCCTGCCTTAAAATGTTATTTTCCTGTTGGAGCTACGTACATAGACCCCTACCTACCGGCTAGCTTTAAAGCTGCAGTCTGTAACATTGAGAAGAGAGCAGACTTCGACTGAAAATTTGAAGAAAAACAGGTTTCACGCCACTCCCCCACCCTCTCTGCTTCACTCATGCCACACCTCCAAGCTCCATCCCTCTCACAGCATCTGCGCGGCTACCGCATGCGACCAGAAGGGGGGGGGGGGGGGGGGGGGGGGGGGGGGGGGGGGGGGGGATTTCATATACATAGGCCTATTCTTGTTTTTGTTTGATGGCGTTATGCTGACAGCTCTGCATTAGCAATGCTGTGTCCATCCCCCTGCCAGCTCCTAGATCAGCTTCTTTGATTGGTTGATGTGAGGCATCAAGCAGCAAATGTTCAGATTTTCCATCTCCAGCATCAGCCGCTGGTGAAGCGCGCCACACGGATCAGATGCTCATGAGACACTACTTCAAAATGTTCTGCTGCTGCTGCTCGAGATGTCCTGCAAGACCTTTGATGCCCTTTGATGCGTGTCCACCATTAACTTTGCATGTAAACCGGCTGCTTCTTCTGTTCAAATCCTGTTTAGTGTGAACGTATCATAACAACTTCCAAGTCTCCTGAATGTCCAAAAACTACTGAAATTTCAACATGACTGGCCAACCTGCTTTGGGTCAAACTTTAACCGATTAAGCTATAGCGGTAAAAGATGCAACCAGAAGCAAGAGAAACAACTCACCAATGAATCCCATGCTGCGTCCCAAGACAAAGATGCCATTAAGGGCACCAATTTCAACAAATTCATCAGCTTCATCTCTGTGGGGTAAATAGGGAAAATATAAAATATATTACATGACTTTGAGAATATTTAAGAATTTTTTATTACGTACAATTGCCTTATTATATGACTTTACTGTGTATTTGCTAAGTTTTCTTTCTTGGGCCAAACTGTACCTGATAGAGAGAAACGTAACAGAAAATACAATTTAAGACACCTTCATTTTGTTAAATGTCACGACATCCAGAAGTATAATTTGACAGAAATTAAGTGAAGCATAAAATTGAGCCTCTTACCTCTGAGGTGTACATGGTAGCACAGGTACCAATGCACCAGCACACAACTGGCTTGGTAATTCTGCCCTGTTTAATAGCCTGGCAAATCTTATACTCCTCTGTCCCACCAATCTAAAGGAAGGTATGTTGGAAGAAATAAAAAAAAGACATAAGTCGGTTACTAGTATTAAAATATAAAAAGCTACACATTTAAAATCGATCTCAGTTCTCATTATGTTGTTTTTATCTTTAAACAATAACATTTTCTCCAGTTGCATAGAGTGACACCAAATTATCCCTTATCTTCTTATTCTTATATCTTATTCTTTATAGCATGAAACCTTGGCATGATTATACAGGTTTGTGAAAACTATGAAAGCATTATTCCTAGACAAGGGTTTTCTCATAATAAAACAAGCTCTCATCAAAGAGGGAAGCCATTTCTCACCTCCCCGAGTACAACGATCATCTTAACTCCTGGGGTGTCTTGGTAACGCAGCACATGGTCAGTAAACACAGAGCCTGGATATCTGGAGATAAGATCAGCAGCAGCTCAAACATACACACTTAAAATAATTCATATATACCGACTGGCAACTTTATTAGGTACATCAATAGATTATTTACACAAAGAGTGAAACGGCCAATCAAATGGCTGCAAATCAGCATCAAGATGTGGTGAAGACAATTTGCTGAAGGTTAAATCCAAGAGCAGAAGGTGGCAGGAAGCGTGAATTTAAATCGCCTGGTTAATGATGCAAGGGTATTAGAGAGAGCCTTTGATCTATTCGCATTTTTATGCACAACTGTCATTAAAGAAAATTTTAAAAATATCTAAAGAGAAGGAGGTATTTGGAAGGAATGTTTGGTTTGTGTTCAAAGAGACTTGAGACTCTGAGAGAGTGTCTGAGAGAGAGACTTGACAGTCTGAGATGTTAGAAAGGGATCAGTACTTTATGAACTGCTTCTTACATCCAAGGCAAGACAATATTTAATTCTTCATGCAGAAACTAAAAAGACAAAAGTATACATATGAGTAGAAGCGACTAAAAAAGTGGAGTGGAAAACTAATGCTAACGATCATATATGCTCACCAAAATCACAAGTTAATTCTCCATTGTGAGATCAATAATGTTCTATGTGTATTCTATTTA